GATTTTTCAGTCAATTTGTAAAATGATTGAAATATATAGGCATTTTATAAATGGCCGAAACGAATAATTTACACATAGACTTTAACATAATACAACTCCGTAAAAGAACCTTCAATCTCAGTACAGGTACAGGCGCTTTTATCTTGTACTGGACTACTATTGTCTTTCTACATATAACACTTAATTATGTGTAGGGTTGTCGGTCCTGTGCTTTATGCGGGAAATTGTTATATATACATTAGTGCCACGGCACTTAGCTCACCTGGATATGCAGTTACCAGCTTAAAATGTTAGCAAAACACTAAACGCATTGATATTAACATTTCTTCTGCATAAGTACTTAGCAATAAAAAGAAAAACACCTTGAACAACAGATCAAGTCATCATCAGGAAATTATACAGGCCAAAGATAAGCTGTCCCATGGTGGCAATTTAGTGGGAGAAAAACGCGTAATTTAGACCCCCCTAGAACAGGACGAAGTTCTACATGAGGACGATATTGATAAAGCTAATGTTCTTAATGATTATTTCGTAGAACAAGCCTCAGTTCCTGACATGGATGACGTCGTTGATGATTACGCATTTTCCGTTAATGGTTTTCCCCACGAGCAAATATGTTTATCTGAGAAAGAAATAGAGGATGTATTATTGTCACTTGACGTATCAAAATCTACTTGTCCTGATTTGATTGTTTTATCGAAACCACTTGTAAAGTTATTTCATTTATCCCTGTCCCAACATATCTTTCCTATGCCATGGAAACAGTCATCAGTAATCCCAATTTATATAAGAAAAATGACACCCATGCTTGTTGTAACTACAGACCGATCGCGCTCACAAGTTTCCTATCGAAAGTATTTGAGAAATGTGTCCTAAAACGTGCACAACAATTTCTCCGATAATCAAGTTATAACTTGTTTGCAATCAGGGTTTACCGCCCCTGACTCAACTGCTTACCAACTGACCAATCTTTATGATTTCATAGGCAAGGCCTTAGATGATGGAAAGGAAGTTAAGGCAATATTCTGTGACATTGGTAAAGATTTCGATCGTGTTTGGCACAAAGGTTTGTTACATAAATTAAGCAAGTGTGGGATAAAAGGGACTCTCTTAAAATGGTTCCAAAATTACTTAACTGGTAGAAAGCAACATACAGTTATTAATGGACACACATCAAATGTTAAACCTGTACCTGCTGGTGTTCCTCAAGGTTAAGTGTTAGAACCCTTATTATTTTTAGTATTCATTGATGATATCGTCTGTGACATCCAATGTAATGTAAAATTGTTTGCTGACGATACTTCGCTATATGTCATTATTGATGACCCATTATCAACAAGTATTTCAATTAATCATAATTTGGAACGTATTTCTCAATGGGCTAAAACTTGGAAAATAAAATTTAATCCCGATAAAACAGAAGCAATTCAATTTTCAAGAAAACGTAACGTCACTGTCCTGTCTGATCTGTTCATGAATGATGTAAAAATAATTGAGTGAGTGTGATTTTACGCCGCTTTAAGCAATATTCCAGCAATATCATGGCGGGGGACACCAGAAATGGGCTTCACACACTGTACCCAGATGTAAAAATAAAGAATGTTAATAGCCACATAACTTTACAAAGTGATGGGCATTGGCAAAGCCATATTGAAAATCTAACTGCCAAGGTTAGCCCATTGATAAATTGCTTTCGTCGTCTGAAATATCGTTTGAACAGACACAGTCAACATACGCTCATACTACCCTTGTCTGATTACTGTGACCATATATAGAATAATTGCACCAAGGGTCAAGAATTGTCCCTAGAAATGTTACATCTAGATGCACTCAGGACAATATGAGGTGTCGTGAGGGGCACACGTCATACAAAATTAAATAACGAAACCGGTCTATGGTCTTGGCTGAGAGAAGATGCTTTCACAAATTATGCATTTTTTATAAAATGAAAGGTGGGACAGCGCCAAATTATTTATGTGATAAGGTACCTGTAAAAACCTTGGATCGCGCACATTATGAAACACGTAACACAAACGAATACTATGAGCCCAATTGCCGAACTGAATTATCTAAAAAATCATTGTTACCTTCCACAGTCTCCGCCTGGAATGTACTAGATTCTACTCTGAGAGAAGCCGCTCCTTTAAAAAACTGTATAAGTGTATTAAATCAGAAGTGCCTGACATATTTAAAAATATTGATTCACGCGTAAATCAGATAATCCACTGTAAGTTAAGACTAGGATGTAGTGATCTGAACGGTCACAAACTTTGAAAGATTTATTAGCGATAATGCTCAATGTTCATGTGTTTTTTTCAACGAAAGTGCTTTACACTGCCTATTAACTTGCCCAAATTATACTGAGATTAGATCCGAAAGCTATCATTATGTTAATGGATATGACCTCCGAACCGTCCTGTTTGGTACCGTCAGCCTAGATAAAGAAATACTGCTGAATATCGTTGACACTGTACATCATTACTTCTCTATGGGCAAAAGATTTGTCTAAACACGCACTCTTATATAAACCTCACTAACAACTGTTTACCCTTGATGTACCACATATGACTTAATACCAAGTCTATACTACTGTATTATTAAACTACTGCTGCTTGTTCGAATTTTGTCGGGGAGAGATATTTATGTAAGCTCTGCCTGTTTATCAATGTCCTTTCACTGTACCAAGTGGAATTAATATTGTTTTTTAAAAAGAAGATGTTTTATGATAATTTAAAATATTGTAAGAAAACAGAACACATGAGCTGAGTGATGAGTCTATGATGACTTTGCACAGATCAAATAATATTCCATTTTCATAGTGAATCCATAAATGTTTGTTTTGTGAATACAGAGTAGTTTGTTTTGTGAATCCAGAATAGTTTGTTTTGTGAATACAGAAATGTTTGTTTTGTGAATACAGAGTGGTTTGTTTTGTGAATCCAGAGAGTTTGTTTTATGAGGTGAGGTGAGGTGAGGTGAAATTGGGTTTAACGTCGCGTCCAAGATTATTGCACTTATATAGCGACGTGCATGCACGTGTATGTGTGTGTGTGGCTGCTTGTACTAGTCCGGACTGATGCCGATTTATAGTGCTAGCTCACTGAGATACCATGCCACAGTTTAACATGAATACCCCACTCAGACACAGTATACTGACTCCGAGCCGACCAGTCCTTGTTTTAGCCCCTTAATGCCGAGCGCCAGACAGGGTAACAACAAGTACAATCTTTTAACGTCTTTTTGTATGACGCGGCCCGGGATCGAACCCTGGACCTTCCGCTCTCCGGGCGGACGCTCTACCACAAGACCACGGAGGCGGTCTGTTTGTTTTATGAATCCAGAATAGTTTGTTTTATGAATCCAGAATAGTCTGATTTATCAGCCTAGTATTTTGCACTGTTCACATACAGTAAGAGCAGTGGCTGTGATACATCTGTCTGTACAAAACACATTCACTTGAATAAAAGTTTATTTGTTTGATTTGTCATATATTTTATGCAAAAGGAACACATGCTGACATGATCTGATAGGGGTAGACATTGACATCTTGATGAACAACAATGAGGGTTCACATAACAGGGACAATAGTCAGCCTTACAGGGGACTGAAGCACACTCATACAAACTTAACTGAGTGGTCTTAAACACAATGTGGGTGCAAGGAGGGTAATGTAATGACTACATGCCAATTTATATCCTTCAGTGATTTGAAACTTTGCCTCCTGCGATAGGTCATCCAAATCCAAACAATGCCATTACAAGAGATTATCGATTTACACATCTAAAGACCTGTGAAGACCCAGGGTAGAACAGGTCTTCAACAACCCATGCTTGCCGTAAAAGGCAACTATGCTTGCCATAAAAGGTGACTATGCTTGTCATAAGAGGCGACTAACAGGTTCAAGTGGTCAGACTCGCTGACTTGGAAGATGCATGTCATCGCACCCAAATTGCATGGACCGATGCTCATGATGTCAATCACTGGATTGTCTAGTCCAGACTCAATTATTTACAGACCGCTGTCATATAGATGGAATATTGCTGAGTGCGGTGTTAAACAACAAACAAACAAAACACAGACAATTTGAGTAAGGCCATGAAGAGGGGAAATGCAGAACTTAACATGGAACACTGCGAAAGAAGCCAATTGCATGCATGACTCATTTGATTGTGGTGAACATGCCTGACGCAGTGAGGTTAATGATGTAGATGTTCTATTGACTTCAGTTTCAAGGTGTATACTGTAAATATTCATACTCTAGCTTGTAACAGTCCACACCGAAAACAGTATTACACCTAACACAAGAATTTCACAGACATACCACAGCTGAATCATTTAAGTTAACAACTGGGTCTGGTACTGGAGTCTCACCACTGCCATTGTTGTAATGTCTCTGTTAGCATTATGCAACTATACTGAATTGCAAACCAGCAGTCGGTAGCACGATCCACAGCCAGGTCACACACATCATCATCCCCTTCCACAAGCATGGGGCAGTGGGTGCCTCAAGTGCAAGGCACAGGAACATCAAGTACAACACACTTTGAGCATGACGGATGTAAGCACCACCTAAATGCGATACAGATAAATAGAGGGAATCCCTTTAAGAGTGGCACAACCATGAATTCTGGTTATAGCATCACTAGGCAGATATAAAGTAGTCCAGACATCAAGTGTTGCATCACTAGAGTGAGATGTTGATTTGATACTTTCAGACCCAGGCAAATACAGTCCTTCATCATAACAAGTACATAACAAAACAGACTATTTACAAGCATAGAGCCAATAACAGTAATCATGGTACTAGCCATGATGTACAGTCAACTTGCATGCCGTTGAGAAAGAGTGAGTGAGTTGGGTTTAACGCCGCTTTTAACAATATTCCAGTTATATCGCGGCATGTCAGCTTAATGTGGGAGGAAAGCCCGAAATGATGCAGGTCTCAGACGTTTACCATAACGGTGAAACCTACTAGAACGGGTATGGTGCTGACAAACCTAGAAACATAATCGGGGCGAACCGGGATTCGAACTCACAATCATAGGTTTCTGGCGTGCCCAAGGGGCGCAACTCCTTGCACAGCGAATCACAGCGCCTTAGACGACTGGGCCACCTGTGCCCCCTGTTGAGAAAGAGACCAGGATGGCCTACCAGTTTCAGCATGTACTAAACCAGCAGTAATTAGCACAAATCAAAAGAAAACAATAGATATCTTGAAAGGTCGGTGCTTAGGGGAATATAATTCCTCAAATAGAAAGGGTGCTATCTTGTTTGTTTCCTACTGTGTATTGATGAACATTACATTAGTCATACATCATGTACATTAAAATTGTTTCTAATTTGGATTTGAATTTTCGGATTTTGTTTTCAACAGCTTATGCTAAAATTTGAAAATCCTTATGTTTAAAAATATTTCTTGGATATGCAAAATATGAGGAGAGGAACCACAGTGCATCAATCACTCTAAACACTGAATGTCAACAAAGTGATGAAATCATGCTCTGAAGAGTTTTCTCCCCTGAATAAAATAATGATCACAATAATAATTCAGATTTTCAAAGCTAAGAATGAGCTTCATATACACCAAATGCCAAATGTAATTACAGTATCCGTGAGCCCGACAAAATGGAGACGTTACATGTGTATCAGTATTAATGCAGCCCCTTGACAGACAGGGTCTGCCATTTACTCATACACAGGATAGCATGCATTGGTAAAGTAAAGTTTCTGCTTCATCATAGACAGTTGAAGGACAACACTATGCTAGAGCTGTCTGTGCTGCCTCCAGGATCTCCTTGGCTTGGCCGAATTCCTCTGCTCCTGACAGATCACTTTCTCTTTGCTGTAAGGATAAACATACAAAACTCATTGTTTGACATGATAATCGAACATCTGCAAATAATCCTATTATTTTGACAGCCTGGATACAAGATGGTGTCCGATCTTATTTTGACAAAATCAAATCTAATCTTGTGACGACAGTATTTCAGATCAAGTGTTATTATGCCCTAGTTCAGAATCTTTCAGCATTATCTTGTGTTCTGTTTGTTTATAACGCTGCAATCAGCAATATTCCAGCTATATGATGGTGGTGTGTAAATAATCGAATCTGGACCAGACAATCCAGTAATTAACATCATGAGCATCTATCCACGCAATTGGAATATGATGACATGCATGCACGATGACAAATCCAAATTGTTTCCATGGAAATCAAGAAAAATAAAAATGCCAAAAATCTGCAAATACTAAAGGCAACACATCTGTTTGATATATCTGCCAAGTTTTGTTGAAAAATATAGAACGGTTATCGAGTTACGCTCCAGAAACTAAAACAAGTCGCACAAAATTATCTGTGAAACAAGCAATCGTGTCCTTGTCCAACTTCTTTCCCTAAAGATTTTCAAAAATAAAAATTCGAAAAATCCCCAAATATCAAAAGACACCACTTCAGTATGTGACTGATACATCTTTCAAATTTCGATCAAATATATACTGAATGGTTTTGGAGTTCTGCCCCGGAAAAGGAAATGATTACGGACAGGTAGGCGGACAGGCGGACAGACAGAGTGGCTGATCGCTATATCCCCCACGCATTTTATGCGGGGGGGGGGGATACAAATGGCCTCAGTACCACAGATGAGAGCACATGCAAGTATCGTGTTACGTATCGGATCGTGACCACGATATCGTGATACATATCAGATCGCATAGTTGGTGTATCATCCTAGCCCTAGGGGCCATGGATCAACATTTCTGATACCAGACCCATAATTTTCACAGCCATATTTAAATCATAATGATGATAATGAATCTGAGTTTACTGTATTCCTACTGATTGTTACAGATGTACGTACCAGTGTCTGTTCCAGCTCATCGTACGCCGTCCTCAGCCTCTTCTTGGTGTCCGGGATCATCACGCGGGACTCCTGCAGCACCTCCATCTGTAACAAGCATCAGTCACACACATCCCACAATGTCTGTCAAGTCTGGAGTGAGTGAGTGAGTGTGGCTATGCTGCTGTTAGCAATATTCCAGCAATAGCATGGTGGGGGGACACCTGAAATGGGCTTCACACATTGTACCCATGGCGGGAATCGAACCCGGGTCTTCGGCGTGACAAACGAACGCTTTAACCACTAGGCTACCCGACCGCCCCCAGTCAAGTTTGGAAAGGTAAGGGTTTTGTTGTTTTGCTATTCAACGTCCCACTCAGCAATGTTCCAGCTATAGGACAGCAGTCTGTGCATAATCATGCATGGAACAGGCAATCCAGTGATTGATATTATCTCAGTCTAAGTCAAAGTTGTTGCCATGGAAACTCGAAAAATACTTTTTTTTTTAAAATCCCAAACTATCAAAAGGCACCAGTTCACCACTAGAGCTATCCATGTGCCAAGTCTGGTTAAGATGTCTCTCATGGGTTTGAGTTCTGCTCCGGAAACGAAATATGACAGACAAACATGACCCATTCCTATATCCCACTTCCACTTTATAGCAGGGGATAACAACTCCACCCCCACTGCAAACTAAACACTACCCCAGGACTCTTACCAGTGAATACCAAACAGGGTTTGCAAAGCCTGTGAAACATATTTAGTTGGAGACACGGTTAGCAATGAAGGAGCTTCCTAGGGTCTCTGAGTATGGTTGAGGTTTGCTTTCATAATATATCTTAGAACACATCTTATTTTCTTATTATTAACTTTAGGCTTATGACCAGTGCTTGTTACTATGAGAAGTGGCCCACGTCTCTGGGTACAGGGACTCAACTAAGTCCCAGATCTTGCCTCATACAACAAGCACACAAGGCAGGAGACCTATTCCAAACCAGAATCACCACAAGGGCATGTATTTGATATAAATAACAAACATGTTATCATCACACTATTCCTACAATAAATATTCAGCATGTTGTTTAGTGAATCTCTTGAGGAACTCTGAATCCATGATCGTGATGTTGCGACAAGGACCACCAGCATGGCTTTGTCTGGGTCCTGGTCCAACTTGGAACACTTACAGTGACAAAGAATTGAGTGAGTTGTGCTTAACGCCGCTTTTAACAGTATTCCAGTTATAGCGCGGTGTGTCAGCTTAATGTGGGAGGAAAGCCCGAAATGATGCAGGTCTCAGACGTTTACCACTTCAGTGAAACCGACGAGCACAATATGGTGCTGACAAACCTAGAAACATAATCGGGGCGAACCGGGATTCGAACCTACAATCATAGGTTTCTGGCATGCACAAGGGATGCAACTCTGCACAGCAAATCGCGGCGCCTTAGACGACTGGGCCCCCCAGTGACAAAGATGCAAGATCAGGGAGGAGACCCTAAGACGAGGTGAAATGGGGTCTGTTCATGATTATTGTACTCATATAAGCATTGTGCATGCACATGTGTGTGTGTGTGCCTTATTAAATTAGTCCGGACTAATGATGGTTTTACAGTGCTAGCCCATGAGATACCATGCCACACCTCAACAAGGTCTAACGAGAAGGCCATCTCATCACAGCTGAAACACATTGCTACACTTTACAGATATTGATAAGTAATAAAATATGACAAATTCATTATAAGATTTTCTTTCAAATTGTAAAATATGAGGTGGAACATATTTTTTAGATTATATTTTCTGAAAAAGCTGTTCAAGTATTGACCAAACAGTATCAACGATAGGTAAGACTGGGTACACCAATAAATAAAGTAAACAAGAGTCATCCGAAGATGACATATCCCCCCGATGTGGCATGTCGGTAAACTGTGTGTATCTTCAAATGTATTTAGGTTGGCTTTTTCCTTGATGCCAAAACCAGAAATATAATGAAGGTTATTAAATATTGGTTCATGTAGCTCACTTTCTGATGATCTCATGAAATTGTAATAACAATAACGTCGCAGATTCGCATATGAATAGCTCTGTAGTAGCCTCATGACACAAAGGCATAAAGAGAATGTACTAGGTTATGTAGCTCACATCATATATAGTATATGATATCAGTAAATCATGTAAATAGTACACCTTAGAATTATATGTCAGGGGCTACAAATTAAAAAGATTAAAATCTACAAATAACAAACTGCACTACTAGTGAACATGATTTATATGTGCATAAAGTTTGGTGAATCTATGTCGCATGGCTTAGAAGATATGCTCCATCAATTTTCAATTTAAATTAAAAAAAGAAGAAGAAAAATCTGTTAATAGCAAAGGCATCACTACATAACCTGCTTGATAGGTGTAAAAACTTTTGAGAAGCTAAGTTCTATGGTTCAGGAGATATGGTCCGGACAAGAGCACTACCCTCAAATTTCCATGGAAACAACAAAAATATAAAATTCTAAAAATCCCTAAATAGCAAAAGGCACTTCTACTGAGCCTGATTGTTAAGTGTACAAAGTTTTGGGAAGCTAGGTTGTACGGTTTAGGAAATAAGCTCCGGACAAGAGCACTACCCTCAAATTTCCTAAGTTCATCATATTTCCATGGAAACGACAAAAGAAAAAAATTCTAAAAATCCCTAAATAGCAAAAGGCACTACTACTGAGCCTGATTGGTAAGTGTACCAAGTTTTTGGGAAGCTAGGTTGTACGGTTTAGGAAATATGCTCCGGACAAGAGCAGAACCATCAAATTTCCTAAGTTCATCATATTTCGATGGAAACGACAAAAATAAAACATTCTAAAAATCTCTAAATAGCAAAAGGCACTACTACTGAGCCTGATTGGTAAGTGTGACAAGTTTTGTGAAGCTAGATTGTACGGTTTAGGAAATATGCTCCGGACAAACTATGATTACAGACGGACGGACAGACATACTGATGGCTATATCCCCCCGTCATTATATATAAAAAGGAAATTTATTCATCCGTTTGTACTCATGGTACTTGGGAACAATAAAGTGATGAAAGGCAGGCAGAGTTGAAAATCTTTCAATTGTCATTGCCGGTAGGGGTAAGCCATCATATTCCTCAGAATGGCCTGAGATGCAACTTCACCTGTTTCCGGACATCATGCTCATCGACCCCTTCGGCCTTCATCTTGTTGACCCGAGCTTCCTGCGTCTCCACCTCCTTCTCGTACATCGACTTCTCTTTTGTCAGTCTGTATCGGAAACCACAGTATTAATCACAAATACAACATCAAACACAACACACTCATTGGTTACTACTAGTTCGATGAGTGTGCACCAACTGTTACGATGTGTTTGCCAATTCAGCAACAAGTGCTTGCATTATGGCTGAATGGGTCATAGTTAGCACTGGTACTACATAAATGTACCCCAGGTAGGTTTCTGTATCCAAATATGTTCCCAAGCCAAAATTAGAATGCAGAAAAGTACTTGGTACTCCATACAGCGGACGAGTCCATATTCCCTAGCCCAAAACAGACACTGGTTCTTGTTGTAGTTCCGGGTTGCCTGATAACCTGTGCATCAAGGAATATTAGATTATTGTACGTACGCCACTGTGTATGATCGTCTCTTGTATGATACGCTGGAATGAATCTCATAAGTACTGCCATGTTGAATTTAATTGCGGTTTGGTACACAGGAATACCTAAAGAACCGCTTTTGCTCATTGGTTAGGGAACATTTTTGTTTACAGAAAAGTACCTGTGCCGACAATGACTACTTCAGCTGTATTATGTGTATCTCCTAACTTGGGAAGAAAACAGGTAGTCTTCTTAGATATTCTCTTCTCTCAGGACTAGGCCATGTCTAGCCATGTGAATCTATAATCCATACTTCATGTACTATGTCACATTCTGCTGGTTCACAGTTCAGGGGTTTGTCATGTTTGTGGGGTCCTTGAAGATGTCTGCTGGCGTCATGGATTTATCTTGGATTCCAAACTAAGTACCCATGGCATGCAAAATGGACAAACATAATTACTTTGTGCAAAAGTGGGATTGTTTTACGGGGGAAGTATGTCGATGGTTCTGTGCGTTATAAAATATTTTAAGAGTGTTACGTCACATGCCCGATTCAATTCTCAAGCCAAAACATAGAGAGCTCCGCACAGGAAAGTCGACAACGCAAGTGCTGCACAGAGCATCATTCATTTGTTAAAAGGTTTAGGTTTTATTATGGCCGAGTCACAAAATACAAATTGCCAGCTAGATTAGATAAGAAGCCAGTGATTATCAAAGCCTACATCACAATATAAATATTCCTTGGTTGTCTCATGTGGATAATCCCAATCACTCTCCTACCCAGAGTTCCTTGCGGCCAGTCAATTCATGTGATTCTGTTTTATTTCAGACGAGTTTACACATTTATATATACATATGACATAAACGGTTTATCTTTCATTGAGAAAATATCCTAAAACGTGGAAAACTATTTCCTCTTGCGCATTCATCTTCCATGTGCTGTCGAAGCCCAACTGACAGCTGGCGATACAGTCACTTTGATGTGTGAAGCTATATATATCTCACTGTCACAGTTGTAGTAGCACATCTGTACAATTATGCAAGACAACATGTAAACTGTAAAATGCAACGAAGGGCTTGCATAAGGCCTAACTGTTCTCATTTAAATTTGCTTAAGTAAGTTTGTTTAGAACCAAGAGAAAAGTCTGGTCACATGATAAGCCTACACCCACGGAGTGGTCACTGGGTCAGATTTGGTTGGTTTGTTGTTTTACGCCGCATTCAGCAATATTCCAGCTATATGACGGCGGTCTGTAAATAATCTAGTCTGGACCCAACAATCCAGTGATTAATATCATGAGCATCGATCCACGCAATTGGGATCGATGACATGCTTCAACCAAGTCAGCGAGCCTGACCACCCAGTCAGAAACGGAAAAAGGCGAGCTGAGGCAAGTAAGCTTGGGGGTCATCTGGTATTACTTTCTGATGTATAGAGGTATTTTAACATTGCATTCAATATAATAAGGGCACTTTCTCTTTATTGGTCCTGTCATCAGTGAAATATAAGTCAACCTCATAAAGCAAAACATTTCTTATATATATTCAGCCTCTGGGCAGGTCTAGGTAAATGCCTGCAAGTATTCCCATACCATGTACACAGCATGTCCATATCTAAATATATCTACAACTTTGCTCCTCGCACCATGAGAGCAATCATCTTGAAAAATATCTGCAAATTTTGTCTCAGCAGCCATTATAGGAGATGTTTGATATTAGCCTGATTATGTGATATGCACTGTGGAAAGAAATGAGTGAGTGAGTGAGTATGGTTTTGTGCTGCTTTTAGTAATATTCCAGCAATATTAGGCAGGGGACACCAGAAATGGGTTTCACATATTGTACCCATGTCGGGAATCTACCCCGGGTTTTCGGCTTGACGAGCGAACGCTTTAACCACTAGGCTACCCGACCGCCCCTGGAAAGCAATGATGAAGAAGTGGGAAAGCACTTATGGTCCACTGACCAGTGGTATAGCTTTGGCTAAATTACCGCATTAATTAGACGAGCTGGCAAAATGCACTTGAGTCCCCACAGTGCTAGATCTAACTGGATCTGAAAAAGTGCTCCTGGTAAAATGCACTACACCCGATGCCTTTGCCTTGGACTGACATTTGGGTTGAGCTGGGGTCAGATATTTATCAGGTTGGATAGCTTGTACCAGCCCCTCACCTTATATATATAAGAAAGTTAATTTATATCAGACTACATGGTAAACCATGGCAATCACTCAACTTTGTAAAACTTCTGAATATATAAAAAAATGTTTAGAATACACTGTCATGCTAAACAGAATGAACAATTTTTATATTTAGACATGCATCATTTTGATTCTAGATCAGGTAGATGGATGAGTCAGAAGCTGCAACGAGAGACAAGTCACCAGGTCATACTTTCTGCATGTAGATTGTAGCGAGACTGATACTGAGTGAGAGTAAAATCACACAATCATAATGAACAGCAGGAAAATTACTGTAATTAATAGTTGTCAAGGAGACCGACAAAACAGACTAGATCAGAATGACTTGAAACAAACTTGCTACGTTGGAGATCTAGTAATTTTGTCGTAGATACGGTCTGCATCCGATCTCACACATCGCTACGGCCAATGACATTTTCACAAACAGGACGGAAAATAAAACAGAAATCACCAGCATTCTCCTGACAGTGAGCCTCGGGTGTACACAAGCATGCGCAGGTCCCCAGGCGAGTGTCATGTGTAAACACACGCGACATTTCACGTCTGAATCATGCTGCATAGATCTACATAAGAAAAGAAAGTTAACATGTTAATACTCGCCTTTTCACGACTCCAGTCTTGATTTTGATTTGCCTTATTCTCGGGTCAGCCATCGTGTCTTATATTTATGGAGTTGTCAGTCAAGTTATTCAATATGCACGCTCGAGTGTTTTTCGCGACCGGCAACGCTGAGAAATGACTGGGCTGTTTCCTTTCCACGGAAATAGCTCTTCATAGTCAGAGGCGCCGGCCACGGACAGAAATCTAGCCAATCAGCGTTGAAATTCGTCGCGTACTTGGTTGAACCGGTTATGTTTTTCCTCCGCGCTATCATCTATGCGCTTTTACAGATATTAGTAGACAGGATTCAGGTGTAGCAAATGTGATGACATTTTGACTCCATGCACGGCAGTGTTTGTTAGTGTTTCAACATAGTCAAAGAACACAAACACCACTTTTGTAATGGCACATCTTTTAAAAACAAATTATAGCAAATGATTCAATTTAGATTTGGTTTTAGAATCTTGTTCAAACAACAAAATGTGCATATTTTCGCCACCTCTTGGCAACGAAAGCCTGCATGTTGGCAACGAAAACCTTCATGTAAATATTGTACAGAGACCATGTATCAAATATTCTGCCTATGTGTATAGTGTATTTTTGTATACGTGTAAGTCACCATCTATAAAGCCTGATGACTCATTAGACATTTACTCATGTATATATTTAAATCTTCCCGTTGATACCAAAATGACCAATCGAGCCAGAAAATATGGAAACCAGTCTACGATGTCACACATGCGCAGTGCGGTTCGCGGGTAACTAAGGTATACTTCCGGCATGTGCTTGCTGGACGAGAAGTGAGCTCTCTACGCATCTGTTTTGATTGTTCAATAGGAAGGACATGAAAAACACCTGTCTCTTCATTTCTTCTGTATTATCCTAACCAATGTCATCAGGTGTGCATATTCGACAATGGACAGAAAAAGACGCTTCAGGCACATGGGAGGTGTTAAAAGAGGCAAGCTTCAGTAATCTTTACCCTTCTTTTAAGATCGCTATTTCTCGACCTGCGTCAATCAAACTCGCTTCTGCTGTTGCCCTTGTTGCGGGAGTTGTTTTACAGTCCTTCCTAGCGGTAACAGTATCTCTTATTATCTATGGGTGTGCCGTGTATGGGTTCAGCTTTATTGGCACACTGTACTACCTGTATGGCCCGACCCATGACGACATGAAAAATGCACGACAGAATTACTTCCGTGACGAAGACGACAATTTTTGGATTGCCGAGGTTAACGGCGAGATTGCAGGAACGGTTGGGATTGTGAAGAAAACGGCTGGTGACGCAGAACGTAAAGTAGCATGGCTGAGACGAATGGCAGTGAAAAGGAACTTCAGACGCTTAGGTATTGCCAAGAAGCTGGTTTCAACGGCGATATCATTTTGTAAACAACGTCACTACGACAAGATAGAGCTGATAACGACGGAGGTTCATCAGCCTGCGAGGAATCTCTACACGAGACTTGGCTTTATAATGGTGGACTATAGACCGTATAAATATCTCCTGGGGTTGATATCGGTGTGGACATATGAGTTTGAATACGAACTGAATGATAACTGAACGCCACAGCAATACTGTATTGATTACACAGACACCATCACCTACATATGGATGCGTTTGTATTGTGTGGACGTACGTTTTTGTTTGAATGATAACATGGCATTGTATTTAATTCAAAACCTTTATTTATCTTTTCATAATGTTTATGTACTATGTATCAATGTGGACGTATGGCTTGTTACTTATCACTGTATGTGCAATCACATTTACAGGGTTGCATGCGATGAGTGAAATATGGGTTAAACTTGAGGCAGGACACGTCCTGGTAATATGTACCTCATTTGTGATTAAAAGAGAGTTTGTGTGAGTGAGTGAGTGTGAAAGAGAGAGAGTATATATGGCAGACGAACGTTGTTGTCAGTTGAGATTAAATCAAACTCAACTTCCTCGATACTGTAATGTTGACATTGCCATGCTGTGTTCATATTGCCTTCCCGTATGTCAATGGTGCTGTCGTATATAAACCATGGCATTATTCAATACATGTACGACATTTGTGTATTTTAGTCAATGAATTTTACAGCCCACTGGTTGTAACCTGTTCATTTTATTGAGGTGCCAGGTCTTAGTTGTCGCCAAAGCAGCTCAATGTCTTCCTGTGATGAATACCATGTACAAAGGGGCCATGCTTTAACACCATGTTGTTTTATTTATCCACACGACCATCAACTACACTGCATGTCATTTTATGTGCAGCAGGTGCTTTTACACACTGTGAGGCTTTAGCACACTTGTTGAGTTCATCTACATGTATTGCATCTGACAAGAGAGAACTGTTTTAACTGTTAAAGTGTGGTTGTTATTGTAAGCGATGTGTATTTTTGTTACCTTCAACTATTTATGTATTGGAAACTACGAGACTGAAGATGTTTGGAAGACTTTGTTGCTATAAAATGAGAAGATGGCTTGATTTCTGGTGTTTGTGTATGTGTTTTTGATATTTTGGGACACGGCACTGGAACCATTCTGCACTGACCTTGCTGATGATGCGCAGTTTAAGATTCACGCCCATTGCGATCCTAAAGTCACTTTGGCTGCCGAGTAGGACTGTTACTTCTACAGATGGACTGCTTGGTGTGTTCAATTGTGGCACGACCGCAAAGACTAGCTCCACACACTGGGGTTTGATCATGATAAGCCATCTTCCCTAGGCAAGAGTATTAACATGACTTTAAAAGTCCAGTTACCACCCTTGCCGAACTTGGATGGAATTCCTGGACTCGATCGTAGCGCCACCAGTTGTTATAAGAGCTATGTCCCTTCTAAGCCTCTCCTGTGGACCAATGAGATTCCACCACTTGCATTTGTTTCGAACAAAACGGTGGCGCCCAGTCAAGACGATCTGATCCATAATCAAGGTCTATATTGTGGTAAACGGGTCTTACATCGCCAAGTGCATCAAATCACGCGAGCACCTTTATTAAAAACATAAAAATGTTTGGGAAATATATGTTGACAACGAGTTGGCGGTGCACATGAATGGCAAATCCTGCCAGCGACCGAAATCTGCGTGACAGTTTACGAACCGGATTTCGATTTCGTTGCGCGAATTTGATTGGACTATGCATATACTCGTTAGTCCAGACAAAATCTAACTCCATAATACCAGCCTAGTTTGGCAAGGGTGGAAACTGGACTTTTACAGTCAGTTAACTCTCTTGCCTCGGGAAGATGATGATAATCAGGATAGATCAGATCTTTCATTGTCACTGCCAACATTATACACATCTGCATATTTGTCAAAACTGCTGCCATTCATTGAGATCACTAAATATTCAACTGACTTTATGGCAAGCTACATGTTTTTTGAAAATATCTCCGTGAATTTTATTATCGCTTATATACGATAACTACGCCATATATCGCAAAGACCAATGAAGAACAAAGGGTGGTTTATTTCAAGATAAAGCATGGTTCTGTCATGACGTCATTTCTCGAGATTCGAACATGCGCTCGCAACTTGAAGACGTGGTATTTTGGACGAGGTTATTTTGAGAGGGGAGTGTCTAGTGAGTTATTGCCCATAGATGTAGCTGGGCAAGGCAGATAAACGCGGTGACCGAACGATCGCATCCAGCGGGAGAGGTATCACAATCGGTATTGGGAGAAAAGGTACAGGTAATCGACGTGAGGATTGTGAGAATATGCGGGAAAAATTCACCTGTGCCTAAATTGGACTTGTCCGACATTGCCGAGATCGGATTCTACTGAGAGAGTCATCAATATTTATATAAGGGTAACTATTTTTAAAGCTTGTACATTTTATCATCATCCTTAAAGAGGCCGTAAACAACGTTGCTATCTCATAAAAGAAATAAGCGACTTGTGGTCGTTGTTTATCGTACAATAAATCACTGCAGGGTGAATAAACCACTCGGGACTGCTCCCAATGCAGTGTTTTATTGGACAAACAACTCCCACTCGTTTATTTCTTAAATACAGCAATATTAATATTTCAGGTGTATCACTAGCGACTTGTAAATAATAATCACAGACAAACCCGTGACCCAAAGTCCAACCAACGATTCTCATTGATCAGCTTTCAAGCTCAGGATGCAGGAGTCCTGTTCTTTCCTTGGATCCCCACGGGGCGAAAATCTATCAAGAGCTTCTGAAGTGACATAACGGTTAAACATTTCTGCAACCATTCAAAAAACGTTCTGCTTGATTTCAGTTTGAAGACATGTCAGTGTCACAGTGCCCTGACCCAAATGTTCGTTTGTTTGTTTGCTGTTTAACGCCCCACTCAGTAATATTCCAGCTATATGACGGCTGTCTGTAAGTAATCGAGTCTGGACCAGACAATCCAGTGATTGACAACATGAACATCGATCCACGCAATTGGGATCGATGACATGCATCAACCAAGTCAGCGAGCCTGACCACCCGATCCCGTTAGTCGCCTCTTACGACAAGCATAGTCGCCTTTTACGGGAAACATCGGTTGCTGAAGACCTATTCTACCCCTGATCTTCACGGGTCTGACCCAAATGTGTATGTATCGCGCAGCGTGGTTACATAATTCAGGCGTGTTTCTCCCATTTACTGCGGAATCTAGTAGCGGTAACCTAACTACATGTGTAGGTACTCGAATCGATAATATTATATATATATACACACAATACTATATTATTGAAGAGAGGATGTCAGTTCAGCAGATCACACTCATTAATCGGTAACCATGGTGATTTAGACAAACAACGAATGTATGTTAACTCGATAATAATACAGTAAAACACAAAACTGTTTCTTGCATAGTATTAAGACAGTGTCGATGTGGATGAGTGATGATTCCTTAACGTACCATCAGCTATTCGCGGCAAGCTTTTGTTGTCGCTTTGTTTGTTGTTTATCGCCGCACTCAACAATATTCCAGCTGTATGACGGCAGTCTGTAAATAATCGAATCTGGACCAGACAATCCAGTGATTGATATCATGAGCATCGATCCATGCAATTGGTATACGATGACATGCATCAACCAAGTCAGCGAGCCTGACCTCGATCCTGTTAGTCGCCTCTTACGACAAGCATAGGCTGCTGAAGACCAATTCTAACCCGGATCTTCACGGGGTTTTGTTGGGAACCCGAAGCTCATAATTAGTGGAGCTACATGGGCATATACCAAGGACATCTTAAATGGAGACGGTACTGTCGCAATGAATGTTTCATCGCCATTCAGTCCCGCTCGGCATACTCCTTTAACTACATAATATTCGCAACTGCGGTTCAGCATGGATTTACATAATACAGTAGTTCGTTTGTTGTTGAACGCCGCACTCGGCAATATTCCAGATATATGATGGCGGTCTGTAAATAATCTGGGCCAGACAATCCTGTGATTGACACCATGAGCATCAATCATCGCAATTTGATTTCGAGGACATGCATCAACCACGACATGGGTCACTGAAGACCTATTCTAAACCGGATGTTCACGGGCAAGCTGCACAATGACCCGGTTATCGACTTAGTGGTGATACTGTATAGGTTCACTATAAACCGTATATGGTATAAACCGGTTTTGATGGAAAACAACACCTTTGTTTTCATGGTTAGTGATAGTTAGGTACACAGTTTGAGATGGAGCAATATTTATGGGGTTCGAGCCGGCGCCGGATTGTGTCAAAGAAACTCTAGTAGGAATGCCCCCTAATGCTAGTCCTGTGGGACGGAGGTGATCAGAGAGATATCAACGTATCTGTGTTTGTTGACCAGTAACTCAACCAATCCCATCTCCCATTAAAACATACTTACTTGTATAATGCGACAAAGTTGGAGCAAGCGACCGGACTTGGTTGATTGCGTATCATCGTTTTCGCTAATGGCTTGTAACGTTGCTCTTATCATTAAGCACTGGTTTGTATGGCTGAATCAATCATGTGAGGGGGGTCTGGAATTGCTGGCGTATAAAACAATGCTTTAAACAAGAGCGTGTACTGACCCTGGGTGAATGACATGATAATCTTTTTTACAGTCCTTCATCACATTGGACTCCGCCCCCCCACCCCACCCCCCCCCCCACCCCCCCATCAAGCCGTGCTCGCTAGTTTCCCCACAGTTCTGCATCACATTGGACTCCCACCCCCATCAAGCCGTGCTCGCTAGTTTCCCCAAAGTCCTTCATCACATTGGACTCCCCCCCCCCCCCCACACACACACATCAAGCCGTGCTCGCTAGTTTCCACACAGTTCTGCATCACATTGGACTCCCACCCCCCACCCCCCATCAAGCCGTGCTCGCTAGTTTCCCCACAGTTCTGCATCACATTGGACTTCATAGTGAGATTCTGCCACCCCAGTTGGTACCAATATCTGGTCTGACACATGGACTATGTGTTATATTACTTTAGATATACGTTATACGTTTATAACACACAGAATGCATAATTGCATAAATAATACATGTGCAAATCAATAAACCGTTGCACCACTCTGCAAGGAAGCAAGGATCAGACAGATCGTTCTGGCGACGTGGTCCAGTTCCGGAACCACGATGTTGACATGGTAACAAAGACAAACTCTTTAATGGGCATAAGATGTCTTTATTTTATTTCATATACTATATTTGTACACCATATCACGGTTTCACAATCTAACAAAAGTCAATTAAAATACAATATCACACAGGCGATACTTTAGCCTATATGAATAATTCAAGTCACGACAGCATCGACGATGGAGATAAGTCACCAAGAGGAAGTTCCCGATTAACTATCCCAGGTCCCATGACTGTGAATGGTCAAGTGTGGGTGAATGTTGTTTTACGAGGAACTGTAGTTTAGAGCATCTATATCGTGGCATCTTGTAAGTACCCGGATCTGGACCAGACACACTAGTAGCTGATCGCGTGAACAACGAACAACGTTGTCGGAGTACAGTGACGTCGATACAGCCCAGAACGCTAACATGTTGTTTATGTGAACGGGTTGATGCTCATGAAATGCTTGTGTTTTCGTTTACGCTTTTGCGGTCGATCCCACGTTGGCATACTTTCCAGTTTTTTCTGTCAAAGACATAACACTTGCATAAAATCAGTTCACGGAAGATTACAAGGCCAAACCAACATCAATAATCAATTCGGCTAATAAAATACCCCAAATGCAACCTAGCAACACATCTGACAAGGGTTGTACAAGCTAGCCCTTACCCCCAACGCACACTGAGGGGATGGAATGGTAATAAACTGCCGGTCGAAAGAACACACGTAAAAATGGGACTTGATCAAAATATTATAAACGCTTTCAAAACGTTACCAGATTGAAAACAGACACCGAAACACTGCAAACTTAAGGTCCAAAACACATGTACAGCTATGATACAGTAAACTACGGTTATAACGAACTCAAAGGGACTACTTATTTTAGTTCGTTATAACCGTAGTTCGTTATAAGCATATATACAGCATAACTACAGCAAATAGTCGGGACCAAAAAGTAATATCGTTTTATCCGTCAGTTCGTTATAAGCGTGTTCGTTTTAACCGTAGTCTACTGTACCTGTATCAAATACATCAAATATCCATTTCCTGTTGGTATCATTTTTAGCCTCCACCAAACAGGGGTGTATACATTTTGCCCTGCTGTTTATATACAATGACGTCACGCTGTGCTGTAATGTCCCCGTTGTATAATTGTATTAACGGATAATCCCCTGATCTCGCAAGTTTAGCCCTAAATACAGAATATACACACGACTGACCTGGTATTCTTCCTCCATACGTTCTTTTTGTCTTTTTTTCAACACGAACTGAAATGGTATTCAAAGGGAGTTTTGTTATTTGATAATTAAAGATAAACAAAATAAATTCCATTGATTTGTTGACAATAACCATGTAAGATGGCTACCACTACCACTCGAGTTTGGTGGAGGTGGGAGCGTGTGTCCCGAAACACCTTGAACAAAATAACTCCTTTCTGCACGAATCACGTGCTGTTACACGTGCGGTACATCTTAGTATTGCACGGATTTAATAATAGTTTTGTTTGTTTGCTGCTAAACGCCGCACTCGTACTGAACAATAAAATATTTCAGCTACATGACGGCGAATATTCGAGTCTGGACCAGACAATCCAGTCATCGATATTGTGAGAAACGTTGTATTGTAGTGAGTAATTATTGTAGGCACATAAAAATAGAAACCAGTAACGTCTTCTCCTTTTATTAAATTGTGGAACTTTTGGGCTTAAATACTATGGCAAACTGACGTGACCTTCACCTTAACTGCTGCAACCTCAAAGGATGTCTCCCGAACACCTGATACGTACATGAGTCGGCCCTTCTATTCCACATAGATACAAATCTGAATTACTCTACGTTGATGTATTTAATTATATACAGTGAAACCCTTTTCATAGGGGGTACACTTCTAAGTGATGTCATACTTCTGTATTATCTGCGTGCAGTCTACTCCATGTCACGTCGTCTAACTCACCTTGGTTAAGAACATCAGCTGCCCGACCAGATAAACGCAAGCAAATATAGAGAGGCTTCCCTGAAATCAGTTGTCCGAATATTGGGTCCCCAGGTTGTTACTCTACATGATGTCATCCAACTCACCTTTGTCCACACGATGGTCAGAAAGGTCAGCTGCCCGAACAGATACACAACAACGAAGGTGATGAAAGCGTAGTAGTCCATGAGGCCAGCGGTGGCGTCGTCACTTTTATACAACGCTACGACAGCGTGCCAACCGCAGACCAGGAACAGGAACGACATCGACAAAAGGATGTAACGGTCCTGGGACAGAATTGAACGTTATGTGATTACAATACAATTGGAGTAGAAATCACAAACATTGACGTCACTTCGGTCTGAGGCATTTATTACAGTGATTGATGGGCCAGACATATTTTAAAAGTAATTTACCAAAATGTATGACCCTCTCGAAGCCTTTATCTATCGTCATCGTAACCCTCCAAAAGGTTCACCTACCCTAAAAACGCTGTCATGATTTTGTTAAGACATTTCCCCGATTTTCTCGACTACCTACTTGAGTTTGAGTGAGTGAGTGAGTTGAGTTCCTTTCCGCTTTGAACAGAGGTACAGTTATATCACGGCGTGTCACCTTATAGTGGGAGCATAGCCCGAAGTGAGGCAGGTCTCAGACATTTAACGCTTTGGTGAAACCCACGAGCACGGACGAGGACCCACGAGTGCTGACAAACCTAGAAACATAATCGGGTCGAACCTGGATTCGAACCCACAATCATAGATCTCTGGCGTGCCCAACGGACGCAACTCTGCTCGTGTCTCCTCCTTGACTATTGATCATACCCATCAACTAAACTTTAAAATGCCAATATATTGCGGGACGCCTTGTGAATGTCTTCTCTCAAGAATTAAGTGAAGAGTTCAGCTTTACGGTCTTAAAAATTACAAGGACCAGCTGAAATCAAGCGATTAAACTTCCAAACTTGTTTACCAGTAAGCGCTGAAATATGCCACTTACACTACTGACTGAGACATCATCATGACTGTATCAATATTATTGTGGCATTGGCCTCTATTAGGTGAACACAGTTTGGTGATGACCGTTGCCTTATCCGAAACGAGACAACGAGAGTGTCATTCATTGAATCATTGTTGTTCACTTGAATAAACTGTTACTAGAATTGCCTTTGTCGGGTATTGTATCAAATCTACTCCTACTGATTGATTCATACTATGCCAAAGACTTGAATCAGCGTTTTGAATCACGTACACAGACGCCAAAATTTACCTTCCAGATACGTCAGAATGAACTGTTTTTTTTTCTATTGTCAATAACTGTGTATATGTGCTTCAAGCTATTGCTTTCAAATACTCTAAACAACTGAAACAGTACTCGCACGCAGGTTCTGAACAGAACAGTGAACAGAGACGCCATGTTCCACCTACCAGATACGTCAGATAGGAGAGCTTGGGTACTGACTGCGAGGCCACGAACTTGAAGGTCACCATGGTGAGGATCAAGGTGAAGGACAGCTGAAGACGCCTCTGGGGCAGTTCGCGGTCAACGGAGAAGGCGGCAAATGACAGAGAACTTATCATAGCCTGGAAATGGGGCACGTGTAATGTAAAACAATGTCGGTAGTTCATATATTAATGACAATGATGCCATGAAAAATGGAACTTGCTTGCCAAAACGACTGATGAAAGATCCTCTTAGGGTCCACGTCACTGCTGATGAGGATGCACCCACTGACATGAGCTGACCGACTGATTAAATGATTATAACTTATAACAGAATCTATTTCGACGTAGTGTCCTCTGACCAAAGTAAAATGTTGAAAGTATAGGTGTAATGGTTCTACAGAAAAGCTAAATTGCTTTTACTGACTCACCCTGAGAAACACACGTGTCATTTCAGAACATGTACAGTTACTCATAATTGAAACCAAAGAATCGTTTTGGCGGACTTCTATGGGTTTACCCTAGGCATCGGGTTACTTGGTGTTCATGTGCTTGAAATAGCCTTGTCTTTGGGGTAATCGTGTATAGATGTCGAGAAATATCTCTATGCTTACAATGACCAACATGATGTTCCACGTGAAGTAGCCGACCCTCCTGACTGCGCAGCACCGGAAGACGAAGCCAGGACGCTTGTACTTGACGCTGCTGTATTCATTTGGCGTGAGACGCTGCTCGCCCACCACGAAGTCGTACAACCCCCACTCCTGCTGATCAACAAAGCTGTCCACGTTGACGTGGCTGATGGACGAGGTGAACTCCATAAGCTCCACATCAGTCGGCGGGGATTCGCTGGTGATGAGGATGGAGAGATCCTGTGGAGAGAACGAGGACTGTTGACTGACAGACAAGATGAGACTTTATATAATTTTCACCGTTATTTAGCCTTTACGCCCAAAGGAATCTTTTTCGAAACTGGTTATTAATCGGCGTTGCGTTGCCGCAAGAGGTTCTACCATTTTAATATACACAAATAGTAGACTTAGTTCATCTGTTTTTGGGCAACTCTGATTTTTTCTCTCGTTGAAAATGCATGTATCGGAAATCCACAGGACTCTCTCAGACCTACTTGGATGTCAAAGGGAAAGTCCTGCAGTTCCAGCTTCTCGAAGAACATGCCCTTGATGCGGCGTCTCTCCATCACATACGTCTCCCCTCCCGCCTCCGTCTGCAACTCCCGCCACGTCGTCTGCTTTAACTCCCCGATGTTGTTCTGGATGTTGAGCTTGGGGTCGAAGTACGACTCCCAGTTGATTTTCTTGGTCTGCCAACAATGGAAATTATGTCTAATACCCCCCTCCACAATACTACTTCTCCTTCTCTGTACGATATAGTGCTGATCAATGGGTAAACACGTTGATTTGTGGATAGAAAGGCACTGACAAATGTATCTTTCCAATCTAGTGCCAGTGAGGGGCGCGGACAGAGCACGAGCTGACAAATGACGATCAGGTTGTTCCAATGTATTACCTCCTCATGTCCCGACATAGAGGAGCATATTTTTCATTGGCTGAGAGGTAGATGTCTGCCGAGTACTAACCTCCTTTGTGGTGCTGTCTCGTGCAGGTTCCCTCCATCTGGCTGAGAGGTAGATGTCTGCCGAGTACTAACCTCCTTGTTGGTGCTGTCTCGTGCAGGTTCCCGCCATCTGGCTGAGAGGAAGATGTCTGCCGAGTACTAACCTTTTGTTGTTTCTGTCTCGTGCAGGTTCCCTCCATCTGGTTAAGAGGAAGATGTCTGCCGAGTACTAACCTTTTGTTGTTTCTGTCTCGTGCAGGTTCCCTCCATCTGGTTAAGAGGAAGATGTCTGCCGAGTACTAACCTCCTTGTTGGTGCTGTCTGGTGCAGGTTCCCTCCATCTGGCTGAGAGGAAGATGTCTGCCGAGTACTAACCTTTTGTTGTTTCTGTCTCGTGCAGGTTCCCTCCATCTGGTTAAGAGGAAGATGTCTGCCGAGTACTAACCTTTTGTTGTTTCTGTCTCGTGCAGGTTCCCTCCATCTGGTTAAGAGGAAGATGTCTGCCGAGTACTAACCTCCTTGTTGGTGCTGTCTGGTGCAGGTTCCCTCCATCTGGCTGAGAGGAAGATGTCTGCCGAGTACTAACCTTTTGTTGTTTCTGTCTCGTGCAGGTTCCCTCCATCTGGTTAAGAGGAAGATGTCTGCCGAGTACTAACCTTTTGTTGTTTCTGTCTGGTGCAGGTTCCCTCCATCTGGTTGAGAGGAAGATGTCTGCCGAGTACTAACCTCCTTGTTGGTGCTGTCTGGTGCAGGTTCCCTCCATCTGGCTGAGAGGAAGATGTCTGCCGAGTACTAACCTCCTTGTTGGTGCTGTCTCGTGCAGGTTCCCTCCATTTGGCTGAGAGGAAGATGCCTGCCGAGTACTAACCTCCTTTGTGGTGATGTCTCGTGCAGGTTCCCTCCATCTGGCTGAGAGGAAGATGCCTGTCGAGCACTAACCCCCCGGGTGCTGTCTCGTGCAGGTTCCCTCCATTTGGCTGAGAGGAAGATGCCTGCCGAGTACTAACCTCCTTTGTGGTGATGTCTGGTGCAGGTTCCCTCCATCTGGCTGAGAGGAAGATGTCTGCCGAGTACTAACCTCCTTGTTGGTGCTGTCTCGTGCAGGTTCCCTCCATCTGGCTGAGAGGAAGATGCCTGCCGAGTACTAACCTCCTTTGTGGTGATGTCTCGTGCAGGTTCCCTCCATCTGGTTGAGAGGAAGATGTCTGCCGAGTACTAACCTCCTTGTTGATGCTGTCTCGTGCAGGTTCCCTCCATTTGGCTGAGAGGAAGATGCCTGCCGAGTACTAACCTCCTTTGTGGTGATGTCTCGTGCAGGTTCCCTCCATCTGGTTGAGAGGAAGATGTCTGCCGAGTACTAACCTCCTTGTTGGTGCTGTCTCGTGCAGGTTCCCTCCATCTGGCTGAGAGGAAGATGCCTGTCGAGCACTAACCCCCCGGGTGCTGTCTCGTGCAGGTTCCCTCCATCTGGCTAAGAAGAAGATGTCTGCCGAGTACTAACCTCCTTGTTGGTGATGTCTCGTACAGGTTCCCTCCATCTGGCTGAGAGGAAGATGTCTGCCGAGTACTAACCTCCTTGTTGGTGCTGTCTCGTGCAGGTTCCCTCCATCTGGCTGAGAGGAAGATGCCTGCCGAGTACTAACCTCCTTTGTGGTGATGTCTCGTGCAGGTTCCCTCCATCTGGTTGAGAGGAAGATGTCTGCCGAGTACTAACCTCCTTGTTGGTGCTGTCTCGTGCAGGTTCCCTCCATCTGGCTGAGAGGAAGATGCCTGCCGAGTACTCCTCCTTTGTGGTGATGTCTCGTACAGGTTCCCTCCATCTGGCTGAGAGGAAGATGTCTGCCGAGTACTAACCTCCTTGTTGGTGCTGTCTGGTGCAGGTTCCCGCCATCTGGCTAAGAGGAAGATGTCTGCCGAGTACTAACCTCCTTGTTGGTTCTGTCTGGTGCAGGTTCCCTCCATCTGGCTGAGAGGAAGATGTCTGCCGAGTACTAACCTCCTTGTTGGTGCTGTCTCGTGCAGGTTCCCTCCATCTGGCTGAGAGGAAGATGTCTGCCGAGTACTAACCTCCTTTGTTGGTGATGTCTCGTACAGGTTCCCTCCATCTGGTTGAGAGGAAGATGTCTGCCGAGTACTAACCTCCTTGTTGGTGCTGTCTCGTGCAGGTTCCCTCCATCTGGCTGAGAGGAAGATGCCTGCCGAGTACTCCTCCTTTGTTGGTGATGTCTCGTACAGGTTCCCTCCATCTGGCTGAGAGGAAGATGTCTGCCGAGTACTAACCTCCTTGTTGGTGCTGTCTGGTGCAGGTTCCCTCCATCTGGCTGAGAGGAAGATGTCTGCCGAGTACTAACCTCCTTGTTGGTTCTGTCTCGTGCAGGTTCCCTCCATCTGGCTGAGAGGAAGATGTCTGCCGAGTACTAACCTCCTTGTTGGTGCTGTCTCGTGCAGGTTCCCTCCATCTGGCTGAGAGGAAGATGTCTGCCGAGTACTAACCTCCTTGTTGGTGCTGTCTCGTGCAGGTTCCCTCCATCTGGCTGAGAGGAAGAAGTCTGCCGAGTACTAACCTCCTTTGTTGGTGATGTCTCGTACAGGTTCCCTCCATCTGGCTGAGAGGAAGATGTCTGCCGAGTACTAACCTCCTTGTTGGTGCTGTCTGGTGCAGGTTCCCTCCATCTGGCTAAGAGGAAGATGCCTGCCGAGTACTCCTCCTTTGTTGGTGATGTCTCGTACAGGTTCCCCCCATCTGGCTGAGAGGAAGATGTCTGCCGAGTACTAACCTCCTTGTTGGTGCTGTCTCGTGCAGGTTCCCTCCATCTGGCTGAGAGGAAGATGTCTGCCGAGTACTAACCTCCTTGTTGGTTCTGTCTAGTGCAGGTTCCCGCCATCTGGCTGAGAGGAAGATGTCTGCCGAGTACTCCTCCTTGATGGTGTCGATGTTGCTGATCTTCAGAAACACGATCTTCAACGAGACATGCCTCTGTGGTGGAAGACATAAATGTATGTACAGTGGCATCTGTATAAACTGGTCTTGTGTGAGAACAAACGTTTTGTCAGTTGAAGACAGATCCGGATGGGGGAGATTTACGTGAAAGTCTTTGGAAATCTTAGATAAAACACGGGTCCAATCATCCTGACCAATGCCTTTTCAAAAACAAAAGCCTTATGCATAACCACAGACACGGTTTCGTAGCGACATAGGGACACTAAATAATTGCCTACTTGTATTTTAGATAGAATTTAATTTTAATCTGTATTTCGAATTAGTAGCCAATTGTTTAAGAAGTATTTTAAGATTACATATATTTACAGAAACGCAGATATATGAAGCTGGGACATTGGGCTCGATGTGTTTTTGGTTGATAACATATGTGTTTTGAATGTAGGCAGCTTTTTGAAGCCGTAGTTGCTCGAATAGTCTGTCCCTTAGACCACAGAGAATACGGTAAAAAACGACAACTCAAGTCGACAATGATTTGACAAGTCTAGATTTACTTGACTCCTAAATACCATATACATAATAGTTCGTTCTTTGTCCTGGCTGCCAATCTGATTTGATTTACATCAAAGTTTGGTTCATAGAATTGGTCTTCAGCAACCAAGGCTTGTCGTAAGAGACGACTAACAGGATGGACAGTCAGACTCGCTGGTTGCTGCCGCTCTAAACAGCAACAAAGACAACCAAACAAAATGAACAATGTCTCAGCCATTGAAGCTCATCTTTGTACTAGATGACAGTTTAAGTGTACATACCATTCAGCTAGAAGGACCCCAGAACACCTTATAAATACGACGAAACGTGCTTGACACCTAGGTTACCGTTTCAAAAGTACATGTCCGCATTAACATTATTCCGGACTGACGAACCTTAGGTGTTACCAAACATTAATTGGTCGGAAGGCGGAGTGTCTGTGTTAACGAGGTTTCACTGTACCACACTACTCACAATAAAGTCATCAGTCTCATCGCCATCTAACGCCATTTTACCTCAGACGAGGAGGTTTCGTTCAGTGGCTCAGAGGACCGGACACAATACACGACATTCGCTGCCCGCCATTAATCACGTGTCACAACAAGGTCGTTAAGGCGCCAACAAATGATTAGGCTCTGTAAGAGGCTCAGGGAGTAGCTGGAGGTTATGTATCATTGTCAAATAAATCTTTTGTCCATAGTTATTATGCCAGAAATGATCTTATGATATAAGGTCACTGTGTTGCGTATAGCCCATGTTTATATGTTATGATATGGGTGGATGGTTAACCCGCACAGTAAGGAGCTTCCAGGTACGATAATCGTCCCACCTGGACAGAAAGGTAACGCTTTCAAATCTTATTTCTGGGATCCATTTTCTCAGTAAGGTAAAATTCTAGGACTTATTTTGGGTGACGTCTGTCCCACCAATACCAATACTCTCCGAGTAAGGCACCTATTCACCAGCACACTAAGTCAGCGACCTAACCCACTCAGCCACCGGACATTTACCAAATGGAAGCCTGACAACCGGTAGTCTAGATCACGTACTTTGTGTACCCCTCTGTTACTTAAATTGGCACGGCTCCCATGCCCGAAAGCTATGAATAAACAATGCCTTTTAGAAAGGGGAAAGGGGTCAAGAGTAATGTATAGGATAACACTTTCTTAGTAACTTGTCTATTCAATGCCTTTATCGTTTTGACATGTATTTGTATATATTGACATCTACTTATCCTCAACATTCTATATCTTGTAGCCTTGAGCGAAACAAAGTTCAGTTCCGCTCAGACTCTAGTTAAACAACATACCAGGGATTGTAGGGGCCCTATTAATGGCGTGTTTCTGTTTATTCTAAATTGTCAAGCAGTCCTCATATTTGCTTCCCTGGTAGGTTCAATTTATGCAATTATCTGTATGCCTGTGTATGACAATGTTTGCAAATATATATTCAACCGTTGTCACAACTATTTGGATATGTTTACGGGTAAATGACCATGACACATTTCGATCCACGGCGGAAGTGGCACGTCATAGGTCTATACATGAATGACCACGATGTAAACCGTTTTAGACCTTATCACTGGCTAGATCCGTTAACCTGCCTACGACAAACTCATCTACCCTATTTAGCCACTACTGAATGTGTGTTGTATTACATCGATTACATTTCATATGAAAGCCCAAATCAATAAACCGTTGTATCACTCCCCAAGGAATCAAGGGATCAATAAACCGTTGTATCCCTCCCCAAGGAATCAAGGGATCAATAAACCGTTCATCCCTCCCCAAGGAATCAAGGGATCAATAAACCGTTGTATCACTCCCCAAGGAATCAAGGGATCAATAAACCGTTGTATCACCCCCCAAGAAATCAGGGGATCAATAAACCGTTGTATCACTCCCCAAGGAATCAAGGGAACAATAAACCGTTGTATCACTCCCCAAGGAATCAAGGGATCAATAAACCGTTGTATTACTCCCCAAGGAATCAAGGGATCAATAAACCGTTGTACAACTCCCCAAGGAATCAAGGGATCAATAAACCGTTGTACAACTCCCCAAGGAATCAAGGGATCAATAAACCGTTGTATCACCCCCCAAGGAATCAAGGGATCAATAAACCGTTGTATCCCTCCCCAAGGAATCAAGGGATCAATAAACCGTTGTATCACCCCCATAGGAATCAAGGGATCAATAAACCGTTGTACAACTCCCCAAGGAATCAAGAGATCAATAAACCGTTGTATCACTCCCCAAGGAATCAAGAGATCAACAAACCACTGTCACTAAACCGTTGTATCACACACCAAGGAAGCAAAGAAACAATAAACCGTTGTAAACTTTCCCAAGGAAGCAGGGAATTAATAAACCTTTGTATCGCTCCCCAAGGAAGCAAACAAAAACGTTGCATCACTCGGGCGAAGTCTTCCATATCCTGAAGTTGTTGACGTGGTAACAAAGACAAACTCAAAGGTCTTTATAAGAAGTGTTTATTATAGTTCATATGCTATACAGATATGTACACTATATTACAGTTTTACAATCTAACAGAAGTTGTCAATTAAAAACAGAATATCACGCAGCTTGGATTTCTTCAGGCTTTGTTATTGATTTTACAGCAGGTCACGGCAGCATCGTGATGGAGACAAAAGACGATGTCGTGGTGGTCTGTATTAGATATCCAATGCACCAGTGGAGGGGTAACTAACAGCGGAAATAGTGTCGCCACTGTGTGTCGGTGAATGTTGGAGCGGACACACTTGTGACCTATAACGGGGATCGTGTTGCTACTGTGTGTCGGTGAATGTTGGAGGGGACACACTTGTGACCTATAACGGGGATCGTGTTGCCACTGTGTGTCGGTGAATGTTGGAGGGGACACACTTGTGATCCATAACGGGGATCGTGTTGCTACTGTGTGTCGGTGAATGTTGGAGGGGACACACTTGTGATCCATAACGGGGATCGTGTTGCTACTGTGTGTCGGTGAATGTTGGAGCGGACACACTTGTGCCCTATAACGGGGATCGTGTTGCCACTGTGTGTCGGTGAATGTTGGAGGGGACACACTTGTGACCTATAACGGGGATCGTGTTGCCACTGTGTGTCGGTGAATGTTGGAGGGGACACACTTGTGACCTATAACGGGGATCGTGTTGCTACTGTGTGTCGGTGAATGTTGGAGGGGACACACTTGTGACCTATAACGGGGATCGTGTAGCCACTGTATGTCGGTGAATGTTGGAGGGGACACAGTTGTGATCCATAACGGGGATCGTGTAGCCACTGTATGTCGGTGAATGTTGGAGGGGACACACTAGTGCCCTATAACGGGGATCGTGTTGCCACTGTGTGTCGGTGAATGTTGGAGCGGACACACTTGTGACCTATAACGGGGATCGTGTAGCCACTGTATGTCGGTGAATGTTGGAGGGGACACACTAGTGCCCTATAACGGGGATCGTGTTGCCACTGTGTGTCGGTGAATGTTGGAGCGGACACACTTGTGACCTATAACGGGGATCGTGTCGCCACTGTGTGTCGGTGAATGTTGGAGGGGACACACTTGTGACCTATAACGGGGATCGTGTAGCCACTGTGTGTCGGTGAATGTTGGAGGGGACACACTTGTGACCCATAACGGGGATCGTGTTGCCACTGTGTGTCGGTGAATGCTGGAGGGGACACACTTGTGACCCATAACGGGGATCGTGTTGCCACTGTGTGTCGGTGAATGTTGGAGGGGACACACTTGTGATCCATAACGGGGATCGTGTTGCTGCTGTGTGTCGGTGAATGTTGGAGCGGACACACTTGTGCCCTATAACGGGGATCGTGTTGCCACTGTGTGTCGGTGAATGTTGGAGGGGACACACTTGTGACCTATAACGGGTATTGTGTTGCCACTGTGTGTCGGTGAATGTTGGAGGGGACACACTTGTGACCTATAACGGGGATCGTGTTGCCACTGTGTGTCGGTGAATGTTGGAGGGGACACACTTGTGATCCGTAACGGGGATCGTGTTGCTACTGTGTGTCGGTGAATGTTGGAGGGGACACACTTGTGATCCATAACAGGGATCGTGTGGCCACTGTGTGTCGGTGAATGTTGGAGGGGACACACTAGTGCCCTATGACGGGGATCGTGTTGCCACTGTGTGTCGGTGAATGTTGGAGGGGACACACTAGTGCCCTATAACGGGGATCGTGTTGCCACTGTGTGTCGGTGAATGTTGGAGGGGACACACTTGTGACCTATAACGGGGATCGTGTTGCCACTGTGTGTCGGTGAATGTTGGAGGGGACACACTTGTGACCTATAACGGGGATCGTGTAGCCACTGTGTGTCGGTGAATGTTGGAGGGGACACACTTGTGACCTATAACGGGGATCGTGTTGCCACTGTGTGTCGGTGAATGTTGGAGGGGACACACTTGTGACCTATAACGGGGATCGTGTTGCCACTGTGTGTCGGTAAATGTTGGAGGGGACACACTTGTGATCCATAACGGGGATCGTGTTGCTACTGTGTGTCGGTGAATGTTGGAGCGGACACACTTGTGCCCTATAACGGGGATCGTGTTGCTACTGTGTGTCGGTGAATGTTGGAGGGGACACACTTGTGACCTATAACGGGGATCGTGTTGCCACTGTGTGTCGGTGAATGTTGGAGGGGACACACTTGTGACCTATAACGGGGATCGTGTTGCCACTGTGTGTCGGTGAATGTTGGAGGGGACACACTTGTGATCCATAACGGGGATCGTGTTGCTACTGTGTGTCGGTGAATGTTGGAGGGGACACACTTGTGATCCGTAACGGGGATCGTGTTGCCACTGTGTGTCGGTGAATGTTGGAGGGGACACACTTGTGACCTATAACGGGGATCGTGTTGCCACTGTGTGTCGGTGAATGTTGGAGGGGACACACTTGTGATCCATAACGGGGATCGTGTTGCTACTGTGTGTCGGTGAATGTTGGAGGGGACACACTTGTGATCCGTAACGGGGATCGTGTTGCTACTGTGTGTCGGTGAATGTTGGAGGGGACACACTTGTGATCCATAACAGGGATCGTGTGGCCACTGTGTGTCGGTGAATGTTGGAGGGGACACACTAGTGCCCTATAACGGGGATCGTGTTGCCACTGTGTGTCGGTGAATGTTGGAGGGGACACACTTGTGACCTATAACGGGGATCGTGTTGCCACTGTGTGTCGGTGAATGTTGGAGGGGACACACTTGTGACCTATAACGGGGATCGTGTTGCCACTGTGTGTCGGTGAATGTTGGAGGGGACACACTTATGATCCATAACGGGGATCGTGTTGCTACTGTGTGTCGGTGAATGTTGGAGGGGACACACTTGTGATCCATAACGGGGATCGTGTTGCCACTGTGTGTCGGTGAATGTTGGAGGGGACACACTTGTGATCCATAACGGGGATCGTGTTGCTACTGTGTGTCGGTGAATGTTGGAGCGGACACACTTGTGATCCATAACGGGGATCGTGTTGCCACTGTGTGTCGGTGAATGTTGGAGCGGACACACTTGTGATCCATAACGGGGATCGTGTTGCCACTGTGTGTCGGTGAATGTTGGAGCGGACACACTTGTGATCCATAACGGGGATCGTGTTGCCACTATGTGTCGGTGAATGTTGGAGCGGACACACTTGTGATCCATAACGGGGATCGTGTTGCCACTGTGTGTCGGTGAATGTTGGAGGGGACACACTTGTGATCCATAACGGGGATCGTGTTGCCATTGTGTGTCGGTGAATGTTGGAGCGGACACACTTGTGACCTATAACGGGGATCGTGTTGCCATTGTGTGTCGGTGAATGTTGGAGCGGACACACTTGTGATCCATAACGGGGATCGTGTTGCCACTGTGTGTCGGTGAATGTTGGAGCGGACACACTTGTGACCTATAACGGGGATCGTGTTGCCATTGTGTGTCGGTGAATGTTGGAGCGGACACACTTGTGACCTATAACGGGGATCGTGTTGCCATTGTGTGTCGGTGAATGTTGGAGGGGACACAGTTGTGATCCATAACGGGGATCGTGTAGCCACTGTGGCTGGTGAGTGTGGCTACAGAGTGACTCAATGAAGGGTCAGCATTAACGTACAGTTGAATATTGACCCGTAAGGGCTTGAATCTAGACACACTAGTGGGTGATTGCATGAGCAGCAATCCACGATGTAGGAATACGGTGATATCTAGTCATACGTTGTAATCACCCAAACATCCTGTTATTCTTATGACACAATTTTGTTGTACTCCTGAGACTCGGTCATGAATTGAGAAAGTCACATTTCAGATGATACCTGGCTGTTTTGTTGTGTGATCGTACACCGCTCGCATGGAGGCCGACCAATTGACCGATCACATTCCATGTTCCATGGTACACTCACTCACTCACTCACTCTCACCAACTCAATCAACCACTCACTCGCTCAATCACTCATTCCCAATACCAAACAGAAATCCACTTTGATACACATTCTAGTGTCTGTCTAAATCACATGGTTAAGTTCAAATGTTTATATTGGGATAAAGAGAGCGCGATGACTCAGACATTCCGCACACACGGCACCATCCCAAACGTCACCAAACTAGGTGGTTGACAACGCCGACATGTTTATGTGAACGGGGTGATCTTCATCAGATGCTTACGTCTTCGTTTCCGCTTTTGTGGTCGCTCCTCCATCGGCATACTTTCAACTTTTTTCTGTAAAAAACAAAGTAATCAAAGAATTCACTAGATTAGGGAAGCGTCCAAGGACACGTGGATACCTGAGGGAGAGTACTACAGCTAATTAGAGTTTTCATCACGATCTATTTCCATTCTTTTTCATTGTGGGCAGACCGTCATCACAGTGTGACATCATACCAGTGCGTTCATAAGTAAGGAGACCCGTGAAGATCCGGGATAGAATAGGTCTTCAGCAACCCATGCTTGCCGTAAAAGGCGACCATGCTTGTCGTAAGAGGCGACTAACGGGATCGGGTGGTCAGGCTCACTGACTTGGTTGATGCATGTCATCGATCCCAGTTGCGGCGATCGATGCTTATGATATCAATCACTGGATTGTCTGGTCCAGACTCGATTATTTACAGACCGCCTTCACATAGCTGGAATATTGCTGAGTGCGGCGTTAAACAACAAACAAACAAACATAAGTAAGAAAGTAAGTAAAGATCACCTCCTATGTCTGAAAAGAACGTATGTAATGTTCTGACACTAGGTCCATCAGCTGATGTCTCTTTTGGTGATGTAATGAACAACCAACGTGTTGAAAGATTAATGCTCGGTATTGACGAAACAACACACAATTCTTCGCAGCATGCCCGTCATTCTCTAAATTCTGAATATAAACGAAACTTACCTGATATTCTTCCTCAGTGCGTTCCTTCTGTTTCTTTTTTATCAGAAACTGAAAGCGATATTCAGAGTTACTGGTATTGTGTTATTTAACCTTAAACATTCTTTCTCCAAAACGCTGCATATAAATGTCATCTTTATCTCACTTTACATATGCATGTGTAATATATTAATGACGAAAAATATAAGATTTACTCTTCTTAAGTTAGTTCAGGATGGATTCTGGTTGTTCAGCAAAACACAATGGAATTCCCAACGATTACCATCATGAGCGAGTGATAGAGCGAGTAAGTGAGTGAGAACATTTTACGCCGCTTACGGCACATATCACGACAGGAGACTCCAAAAACTTGTATATTGGGTTGTTGAACTCGGCCTTCGACTACGGTTTAACGACTAGGCTGGACCACCGACCATCAGTACAAAGAGATTCAACAAATCAAAATGTTTTACATCGGGCGAACACTTAAACGGACGTCGGCCAATCATTTGGATGTATGTGTTTATCAGGATATATGCATAACCCTACTAACTGACAATGATACAGAAAGATAGGTGAACGATGGCGCCTTTATTATCCACTGCGCCCCTTATGGACATACGATCTTTCTGCCCCAAAATGGTGTCTGTATCACGTAGCACCACGACAGTCGGGGTCGAGGTGATCGTTGTATTGCAGACATTGGAGGTTTTAGGATCTCTCTCCTCCGGCTCATAGATAAACTAGCAAATGTTTGCTTTATTTCTTAGGGACCCACCTTTAAATACACATGTTGATGCTATGAAAGGTGGGGCCGATCAATTAAGTTATTCACAATACTTTTTCAGGACTGTTTCTGGAACAAATGATACTTATTCAAAGGATAATTATTTGCTTGGCTGTTCGAATGTTATTGGGACGGTATGGTAGCCTGGTGCTTAAAGATTTAGCTCGTGTGAAGACCATTCTAGTGTCTCCCGTCGTGATACTGCTGGAATATTGCTAAAAGTCGCGTAGAACCATACTCACTCACTCATTCATTCATTTTAACACTGTGTCCACCTTCATTAGCGACGCCCACACAGAGCATTATTTGTCCATCCATTCACCTCCCCCCCGATCCTTCAGCGTGATTGAATTTGTTGTCATAGTTTGTTGTTGAACATATCTCCCCCCCCCCCCCCCCCCCCCCCCGCGCTAATACAATAAATTGAAATACTTAAACATAGACTGTCCCTTTAACAGTATAGAAAGGCTTTCCTGAAATCAGTTGTCCGAATATTGGTTTTCCAGGTTGTGACTCTACATGATGTCATCCAACTCACCTTTGTCCCCACGATGAGTAGGAAAGTCAGCTGCCCGAACAGATACACACCAACGAAGGTGAAGAAGGCGTAGTGGTCCATCAGGCCAGCGATGGCGTCGTCGTGATTGTACAATGTCACGACGGCGTGCCAACAGCAGACCAGGAACAGGAACGACATCGACAGAAGGATGTAACGGTCCTGGGGCAGAATGGAAGGTCGCACATTGATGTGAATAACAATAAAATAGAAGAAGAAGATTAGACTTCCGTCATCTCGAAACTGACATCCGAAGAGGTGTATTGCGTATGTGTGTATGCAGTGCATTGCAACATAGCTGGACATTTGTAGTGGTTCCAAGTTATTCATATGCATTGTGGTAAGATCAAGCCTCATTGCATCCTTGAGTTTAGGAACTTTTGTCGATCAGTCCATGGCCTAAATGTGTATCAGGATTGTGTTTCTCAACGTTTTTAATACAATTATGACATCCAATTTGGCATCAGATATCATGTTGAGTATCAGATAGTGTGTGTGTGTGTGTGTGTGTGTGGTGTGTCTGTGTCTGTGTCTGTGTATGTTAGTATGTGTGTTTGTGTCTTTGTTTGTTAGTGTATGTGTGTGTCTGTGTGTGTGTGTAGTGTGGTGTGTGTTTGTGTTTAAGTTTGTGTGTGTGGTGTGGTGTGGTGTGGTGTGGTGTGGTGTGGTGTGGTGTGGTGTGGTGTGGTGTGGTGTGTGTGTGTTAGTGTGTGTGGTGTGGTGTGTATGTGTGTGGTGCTGTGTATGTGTGTGTGTCAGTGTGTGTGGTGTGGTGTGTATGTGTGTGTGAGTGTGTGTGTGTGTGGTGTGTGTATGTGTATATGTGTGTGGTGTGTGTGTGTGTCAGTGTGTGTGGTGTGGTGTGTCTGTGTGTGTGTGTGTAGTGTGGTGTGTGTTTGTGTTTAAGTTTGTGTGTGTGGTGTGGTGTGGTGTGGTGTGTGTGTGTTAGTGTGTGTGGTGTGGTGTGTATGTGTGTGGTGCTGTGTATGTGTGTGTGTCAGTGTGTGTGGTGTGGTGTGTATGTGTGTGTATGTGTGAGTGTGTGTGTGGTGTGTGTATGTGTATGTGTGTGTGGTGTGTGTGTGTGTCAGTGTGTGTGGTGTGGTGTGTATGTGTGTGTGTCAGTGTGTGTGTGTGGTGTGGTGTGTATGTGGTGCCGTGTGTGTGTGTGTGTTAGTTTGTGGTGTGTGTGTTAGTGTGTGGTGTGTATGTGTGTGTGGTGTGTATGTGTGTGTCTGGTGTGGTGTGGTGCTGTGTGTGTGTGTGTGTGTGTGTGTGGTGCTGTGTGTGTGCCTTATCATCAGTCTCGAGCAGGTAGTGATTAAATGGATAGGTTCGTGGCGTTATTTCGAAGATTAATGAACTGATTCCTTTTATTATCAAAACTTGATGTGCTTCTAGATATTGCTTAATAATACCCAAAGCAACTGAAACAGTATTCCTATGTGTACACAGACGCCTTGTTTCACCTACCAGATACGTCAGATAGGACAGCTTGGGAACTGATTGCGAGGCCACGAACTTGAAGGTCACCATGGTGAGGACCAAGGTGAAGGACAGCTGGAGGCGGTTCTGGGGCAGCTTGCGGTCAACGGAGAAGGTGGCAAATGCCAGGGAGCTTATCATCGCCTGGAAAGGAGACATGGGCTTCAACATAAAATATATAACATATTTACTAATAAATCTACTGTCAGAATGAAAGTTGTTTTTCACCTGATGAATGACCCCGTATATACTACGCCTACGTGAAGACACATGACACTCACTGACCAAATGTTTTCACATATGATTATCCCTCAAACTTATATAACAGAATCGAGTTCGATACGTTATGTAAAATATGTTTATTTGGTTGTTTGTTTGTTTGTGTGTTGTTTAATGCCGCTCTCAACAATAATCCAGCTACAAGACGAGGGTCTGTAAATAATCGAATCTGAACCAGACAATCCAGTGATTGACATCATGAGCATTGATCCACACAATTGGGATACGATGACATGCATCAACCAAGTCAGCGAGCCTGACCACCTGATTCCGTTAGTCGCCTCTTACGACAAGCATAGTCGTCTTTTACGGGAAGCATGGGTTGCTGAAAACCTATTCTAACCCGGATCTTCACGGGTCTTATGTAAAAGACGTGTATGCACTGCAAAAAACTATCTGATTCCAACGAGGATATAAACAGATGGAGCCTGAGTGTATGCTTAGTGTGCCATCTATTCACGCAGTTAACCTTGTCGTTGAGATTGCCGCGTCTTTGGGGTAATCGTGTATAGATGCCGAGAACTATCTCTATGCTTACAATGACCAACATGATGTTCCAAGTGAAGTAGCCGACCCTCCTGACTGCGCAGCACCGGAAGACGAAGCCAGGACGTTTGTACTTGACGCTGCTGTATTCATTGGGCGTGAGACGCTGCTCGCCCACCACGAAGTCGTACAACCCCCACTCCTGCTGATCAACAAAGCTGTCCACGTTGACGTGGCTGACGGTCGAAGTGAACTCCATAAGCTCCACATCAGTCGGCGGGGATTCGCTGGTGATGCGGATGGAGAGATCCTGTGGAGAGAACGAGGACTGTTGACTGACAGACAAGATGAGATTTTATATAATGTTCACCGTTATTTAGCCTTTACGTCCAAAGGAATCTTTCTCGAGACTGGTTATTATTAGGCGTTGCGTTGCCGCAAGAGGTTCTACTATTTTAATATACGCAGATGGTAGACTTAGTTCATCTGTTTCCTTTTTGGACGAATCGGAAATCTACAGGACTATCTCAGACCTACTTGGATGTCAAAGGGAAATTCCTGCAGTTCCAGCTTCTCGAAGAACTTGCCCTTGATGCGGCGTCTCTCGATCACATACGTCTCCCCTCCCGCCTCCGTCTGCAACTCCCGCCACGTCGTCTGCTTCAACTCCCCGATGTTGTTCTGGATGTTGAGCTTGGGGTCGAAGTACGACTCCCATTTGATTTTCTGCGTGTCAAGGATATTTGTCTTAATATACACCAGCGTAAGAAAATAAGTAACCAAACACTTCGGACAAGAAAAGAACGATGGGCCCTTATGTCCCCAGTACCATCTCCTTGTGTGGAATATATCATATTAAATCAGTCAGTGTCTTGGTTCACCACTATGATGCATTTTCATAGAAAGATGTCTGCCGAGAACTAACCTCCTTGTTGGTGCTGTCTAGTGCAGGTTCCCTCCATCTGGCTAAGAGGAAGATGTCTGCCGAGTACTAACCTCCTTTGTTTGTGATGTCTCGTGCAGGCTCCCTCCATCTGGCTCAGAGGAAGATGTCTGCCGAGTACTAACCTTTTGTTGGTGCTGTCTCGAGCAGGTTCCCTCCATCTGGTTGAGAGGAAGATGTCTGCCGAGTACTTACCTCCTTGTTGGTGCTGTCTCGTGCAGGCTCCCTCCATCTGGCTGAGAGGAAGATGTCTGCCGAGTACTAACCTCCTTGTTGGTGCTGTCTCGTGCAGGCTCCCTCCATCTGGCTGAGAGGAAGATGTCTGCCGAGTACTTACCTCCTTGTTGGTGCTGTCTCGTGCAGGCTCCCTCCATCTGGCTCAGAGGAAGATGTCTGCCGAGTACTAACCTTTTGTTGGTGCTGTCTCGAGCAGGTTCCCTCCATCTGGTTGAGAGGAAGATGTCTGCCGAGTACTAACCTCCTTGTTGGTGCTGTCTCGTGCAGGCTCCCTCCATCTGGCTGAGAGGAAGATGTCTGCCGAGTACTAACCTCCTTGTTGGTGCTGTCTAGTGCAGGTTCCCGCCATCTGGCTGAGAGGAAGATGTCTGCCGAGTACTCCTCCTTGATGGTGTCAATGTTGCTGATCTTCAGAAACACGATCTTCAAAGAGACATGCCTCTGTGGTGGAAGAAAAAAGAGAATTATAGGTGTCTGTTTTGCACTTCTCTGAAGTCTCCATTATTCAAGTTACACCGGTGTTGACCTCGGCATAGTTCTTACCAGACAGACACATGACTGACACATTATGGACGAGCCAAGCATGATGACACAGCTCTAATCTTGTCGACTCTAGCAAGAATGCTAGCTGGGCACCACCTCTACTCGGAATCCCCACGACGTCACTGTCTCAGTCATATACTACTCAGAGAAAGTTAAGGACCACCCGATTCTTTCATATTACAGTAAACTACGGTTATAACGAACACGCTTATAATGAACTGACGGATATAACGATATTACTTTTTGGTCCCGACTATTTGCTGTAGTTTTGCTGTATATATGCTTATAACGAACTGCGGTTATAACGAACTAAAATTAGTAGTCCCTTTAAGTTCGTTATAACCGTAGTTTACTGTACTATAGTTAATCTGTCATGGCATAACAGATTAACGCAAGTAATATGAAGGAATCGGGTGGTCCTTAACTTCGTTTGAGAAGTATATGCCTGAGACAGTGACCTCGTTGAGTAGTATATGCCTGAGACAGTGACCTCGTTGAGTAGTATATGCCTGAGACAGTGACCTCGTTGAGTAGTATATGCCTGAGACAGTGACCTCGTTGAGTAGTATATGCCTGAGACAGTGACCTCGTTGAGTAGTATATGCCTGAGACAGTGACCTCGTTGAGTAGTATATGCCTGAGACAGTGACCTCGTTGAGTAGTATATGCCTGAGACAGTGACCTCGTTGAGTAGTATATGCCTGAGACGGTGACCTCGTTGAGTAGTATATGCCTGAGACAGTGACCTCGTTGAGTAGTATATGCCTGAGACAGTGACCTCGTTGAGTAGTATATGCCTGAGACAGTGACCTCGTTGAGTAGTATATGCCTGAGACAGTGACCTCGTTGAGTAGTATATGCCTGAGACAGTGACCTCGTTGAGTAGTATATGCCTGAGACAGTGACCTCGTTGAGTAGTATATGCCTGAGACAGTGACCTCGTTGAGTAGTATATGCCTGAGACAGTGACCTCGTTGAGTAGTATATGTTTCGGATATGACTGCAAATGGAGAAGCACATTGTCCACACATTATTGATACTATACCCACATGACCCTGTTTAGTCTGTAGACGTGGGGCAGTGGGTATCATGTTCCACTGTTATTATACGTCTCATCCTTGAGGGATCTCAAGACACATATAAGCGAACCTCGTTAATCCGGAGGCACCGATCCCGTGAAATTATCTGGATTAGCAAGTTACCTCATTAGCGAATATTGGGTAAAGTGCGTATATATAGACGTTACCGGCAGACGAAAGACGGGGTGTCCGTATTAACCAGGTTTCACTGTCTCACATTACTCACAGCAATGTCATCTTTTCCGTCACCAACTAAAGCCATGTTTCCACAGGCAGAAGAGCAATTCTCTTGGTCAAAGAGGAGTTTCAGAGTATTCGAATCAACACGCTACATTCGTTGGCCGCCATTAATCACGTGTCACAACAGTGTCGTTATGGTAACCACAAATCTTACTGTAGCGAGATGTTCACATTATTTTCGACAAACACAAGTTGGACACATGAAATAAAGAATAAAAGAGCAGAATGAAGAGTCTGCGAGAAAGTAAAGAAGATATGATGGTATGTCAGTGGCGACATTGCATCATGCATAGGCTGTATATTTCTTCATACAACATGGCGGACTGGACTTCTCTTGTCCGTGCTCATTATGCCAGAAATGACCTGCTATGATATAAGTTCAGCAGATTACACTTATCCCACGGTGACCTGTTTTGATGGACAGATATTTGTGTATGGTGACGAAGCTCAGCCATATTCCCACAGGCATGCTAGCTACAGGTTAGGCTTTCATCACTCCGGACCAGAAAGGTAGTGTGTTTTAGTCTCGGTTTTGACACCCCTTTAAAAGACAACACTGGAATGTATTTTTCCGATTTGATTTAACAAAATAGCAGGTTGTTCGTGGTGTTCTCACCAGTAGTTGTTGTAGTTCGTTGCCATGTTCTCACTATCAATCAGTGTTTATCCATAACACTGGGAGTACAAGGGGCTAAAGTATTTATTATACCGTAATGGGTGTTTATGAAATATATACTCTTGAAAAAGTTAGGTGATCATGAAACATAAATGCTTAGACCAAGTGTTAAAGATTCGTGTTCATGACAAACATCCCAAGCAAGAATGTTTATGCCTGGAAAACGTAACAACAAAACACATCCTGTAGTTTGCACGTGCCTCACGCAGAAGCGCCACACACGTCCGAAGGGGGTCATTCCTGATCTTCACACTTTCAAGGAAGGTCGATGAATCTCTGTGGACCATTATCTCTTTCAATCTTATTGATTCTGCTTATCATACAGTTGTCATTGACTTGATTTCATTCATTTGTGTGTGAACTAGCGATGCGGCGTCTACAACGCGCGGAGCGTCTTCGACTATTGGCATGATAGAAACTGGCAGAAGTCAGCGTGCAGTGGCCAATATATTCAGTGTTTCACAGTCTTGGATTAGCAGACTATGGAACAAGTACCAACAAACCTAAAATGTTGACTATCGGCCCTGTTCAGGGCGTCCCAGGTCAACGACAAGAGTACAGGATCGACTGAACCGAAACCAGGCTCTACTCAATCGAGCTCAAACGGCGAATCAAATTGTTGTAAACTTTCATCAGGCATCTGGAGTACGAGGTACGGGTCAGACGATTAGGAGTCGGCAACATGCAGCTTATCTCCATGCTCGACGGCCACGGCCTTGATAGGCGTGGCTGTCTATGGCAACTTAGAAATGAAAGTCAAGCCAATGTTAACCTGAGACCTGATGACAGATTGGGCGTCGTTTCGGTTATGGTGCGGTGTATCCCTATACCTGGAAGAATCCCTCTCCATATTGTGCAAGGAAGGGTCACTGGACAGTACTATGGGAACAAACAGACACCCTTTTCAGTGGCCGATCCAGGATGTGGGTTGGGGTGGGTGTCATACAGCTGGGATATTGCTGAATGCGGCGTTAAACAAATAACAAACAAAACAACAAAACATATAAGTCAACGTCACAGGCCGACGACGAGGTTATAATACCTGAGTGAGTGAGTATGGTTTTACGCCGCTTTTAGCAATATTCCAGCAATATCACGGCGGGGGACACCAGAAATGGGCTTCACACATTGTACCCATGTCGGGAATCGAACCCGGGTCTTCAGCGTGACGAGCGAACGCTTTAACCACTAGGCTACCAGACCGCCCTATAATACCTGAACCTGGCTGGGCGCTGCAAGAGGAGTGGGACAGACTCATCTCGATCGTTGGCGGTCATAACATCAACTGTCATTCTTCACTACCTGTTGCGATGTGTTCCCTATTCGTTCGCTATCACCATTGCTAGTAACTAATATCTCTTACAATTTTTGATTTTGTAAGTTATTTTCGAGTTTCACCTACTTTTTAAAAGAGCTCATTTGGAACTTCTTAGGTTCACAGCATGCAATGTACACATTGCATATTTTTTTGGTATTACTACATTGTTACTTGACATCAACAAAACAAATTTCTGCATACTCGGATATATTATTATCAGAGAACTGTTTTCAAAGTTCGTACTGACTAAAGGTTTAGTCTTTCTCCACTAGCGTCTAACACGACAAGGAGTCGACAGGTCAGGGAGTGGGTGGATCTGCACCTGCAGTATTCCTGTTACTGAGCTTAATGTGGGAGGAAAGTCCGAAGCGATGCAGGTCGTTTAGCTCTTTGGTGAAACCCACGAACACGGGTATGGTGCTGACAAACCTAAAAACAAGCGGGATTCGATTCCACAATCATAGGTTTCTGGCGCAACTTTGTCCAAGGAATATCGGCGACTTATGCCACTATGCCACTAGTGCCCCTAAAATTAGAAAGTTTCTAAAGGACTATCGTGCTATAAAATATGATCGATGGATTTGTCTGTATTTAATACGATAGCGATACCTGCGACATCACTCATAAATCACACTAGCCTGAAACAAGAAATGGTAGAAAACAATGCCAGGTGGATATTATAACACACAAGTAAGTCAGTGAGTTAGTGTTACGCCGCTTTTAGTAGTATTTAAACAATATCCCGGTAGGGGACACCAGAAAAGGGCTGCACATCTGTACCAATATACCACACGTGTACCTGATACCTCAGGCTTCTCACCTCGCGCCGGGTTATGTTGTTGAGTTCCACAAGGAAGGCCGGAACGATTAAATATGTATCATGTCCTGATTAAAGACGTGGGAGGGCCACAACGTGGATCCTTCGTTACACTGCTGAATACACAACGTTCTGAATCAAATAGTAATTCTTCGTTAAAAATGTTCACACGAAGAATAAATCTTGTGCGAGGTGCAACAGTAGTTTTAAGGAAGGGAATGAAATGAAACAGAGACGGAGAGAGAGTGAGAGAGAGAGAGAGAGAAAGAGAGTGTGTGTGTGAGAGAGTGAGAGAGAGAGAGAGAGAGAGAGAGAGAGAGTGAGTGAGAGAGAGAGAGGGGTGGGGAGAGAGAATTCTACCTTCTTTGAAGACGCCCCAACATCTGGAGGAAGAAGCTCCTCTACTGCAGCTGCTGAGGCCTCTGGCATTGTCTGGTCTCCCATGTCAAATATCCACAATCATTCCCCAAAATGACCACAGTGGAATTCCAAAGTCCCTTGTTTACACCTTCGAACCGTTACTCAGTATCTTCGGCAGAACGTAATACAGTAACTTGGTTTGTATGTCGGGGCCAACTACCACCATTCATGTAAGATTAGGGTACGTCAGTCGGGTCGTTACGCGTGACTGATCGATCGCAACCTGCCTGGCTCTGATTGTTAATCTTACTGCGAGTCAGGGTTGTCCACAGAGGCATTACGAAGGTTTCTATGCGATTAGTTGGACCCAGTGTGGTTCGTGTCAAATCCAGTTGCCGTTGGGTTTCATATGGTGGCCGAGAGGGGACGTCGCTTTCTCGCTTTCTCGCTTTCTCGTTCTAACGCTTTCTCGCTGTCTCGCTCTATCGCTTTCTCGCGGTATAGCAATATTTCCCATTGGCCACTATATGGGTCGCATGTGTTAAATGTTTCTTTACGATTAAAAGTATATACGTAAAACAACATTAATGAATTGTTAAACCTGACCTCAGTGGGCGGAGGCTGATGTGGGTTTTAATCATAACAGAGGACTGAGATTTTTCCAGTCACATTTCAAATTATACATTTGGACGGAATGTTGAAATTTTCTCACTATCTACTTAAACATAATTTAACAGTACAGACATAGGTGCTTTTATAACAATCCACGTATTTCTGCGAAAAAAAGAATTTGATTGATTTATGGCCCTATTTAGCTATTGGATCCCCCGCCCCCAGGCCAGGTTATCAAAACAAATAGCAAATAACACCGCTCAATAGCGCTGAGTAGTACGTACTTCCTAAAAGGCAATAGTGTTTTCCTAAAAACAACGCTTATATCAATGTTTATTCTGTTTGCGGAGTAGATGTCATCAAAGTCCTCACCCAAGCAATGGCAATGCTGCCGGATGTCGATTATGTAATTTCTAGATTTTGGATGACATATTGTTTTCAGTAACCGTAATGTGGAAATAGATAGTTGATTGGTTTTATATTCAAGATGGTTATTTCCGCTATTCAAAGTGTGCAGTGAGGCCGTCTTATCAACAGTCATTTCTGAGACATAAATGCAAAGTTTAATTAATTAAATCTACTCTCGTTTTTTTTCATTTATAATTAAGTCTAACGTTAATGTCAAGATTTACAGTACATACTATTCAAAAGAAGTTAAAGAACATCCGATTCTTTCTTATGACTGTGTTTAGTCATTAGAGAAAGCGATAGAGCGAGAAAGCGATAAAACGAGAAATCGAGAAATCGATAGAGCGAGAAAGCGATAGAACGAGAAAGCGATAGAGCGAGAAAGCGAGAAAGCGATGTCCCCTCTCGGCCACCATAGTTTCACGCACTGAATGCTATTGAGAAGTTAGCAATGTTCAATAGACTGAAACATATTATGATCTGTTAACAGGGCGATATAGACTCATGATCATGTGGTAGTTTCCGAATGGACGTAATTAGGGCTTTGTTCAGTGCATGATATACAATGAACAAGCACCATCATCGTATTGCCATAATGCACGTTCAACACTTTAAGCCGACCAATACGATTTATAGGATTATTCTATTATGCATGTATTTTGCACAAATGACGTGTTAGATTTAATTGTGCAAATACACCGTAATACAAGCAGTCGTGTTACACTCACGAAGATTCCAGTTACATGAAGGCGACCGGTAAACAAGCAAGACAAGACAAGCCCCTGACTGATATTATGAGCAACGGCCCACGCAGTCAATCGAGTCAGTAGATCCACATAGTCGCCACTGTGCACCACGCACAGGTTGTCGGGGGTTCATAGAGAGACTAAGTCTCCGAGTCTGACCACCCTATCCACATAGTCGCCACTGTGCACCACGCATAGGTTGTCGGGGGTTCATAGAGAGACTAAGTCTCCGAGTCTGACCAACAGATCCACATAGTCGCCACTGTGCACCACGCATAGGTTGTCGGGGGTTCATAGAGAGACTAAGTCTCCGAGTCTGACCACCAGATCCACATAGTCGCCACTGTGCACCACGCACAGGTTGTCGGGGGTTCATAGAGAGACCAAGTCTCCGAGTCTGACCACCAGATCCATATAGTCGCCACTGTGCACCACGCATAAGTTGTCGGGGGTTCATAGAGAAACTAAGTCTCCGAGTCTGACCACCAGATCCATATAGTCGCCCCTGTACACCACCAGACCGCCAAGAGGGATCACTTCATCACTATGTCGAGCGATATTCCAGGAGCTCCAGCCTGTTGTGTCTACAATTCACAACTTTTGAAGTAAAATCGAGCATGCACTTTCTTCGAAGATTTCAAAGAGCGTCATACGACTCCGGCTCCAATGTTGTTTGATCGGGGTTACAACACCCAAGGCGTTATCAACGCTTTAAAAACGTTTTAAAATTACGCATCCCTATTTTGACTTGAACCGTATGTTCCCATGTTTTTTCATGTAAACAATTGACTTGCTTTTGCATGTGTTTGTGACAGTACTATCGGTGTGGCAGTATACGTTCACCTTTTCATGAATACACGGTATTACCACTAGCGATTCATAGAAATAATGGTTATGATATAGTCGGAATCGTACAATGGCCTCTGCTTTTCAGGTGACGCAGGTCGTTTACCACTTTGACGTAAGTGGTGCCAATAAACCAAGGGTCATAATCAGGACAGAAAGTGAAGTGGTGTATGGTGACTAGGGGAGGCAACTCTGCACGGCAAATTATGAGGCCTCAGAGGACCGCTCGTGCACCCGATTCGGTCCATTGTAGAGTATTCGTGACACATGAACGTATTCTAGTATATTCAAAGTATGCTGAAAATAACTTGTGTATAACGGAATTTAATATAAGTGATTATGCAATCAAGATGAATACCACTGATACATCTCAAGATTATTAAAGGTTCTCTTGATTACTCGAAGTACGCTCAATTCGAACGTAGCAATGGCCTCTAAGCACGTGGGTAAGAAAGAATTGGTGTTAAACTTCTGGACCCTTAAAAACATTTCAAGTTATGCATAGTTGAGACAAGCGAAGTGTCGATATTCAATGTGTCTTAAGTGGCGAAAATGATTCTGCTTGTGCTATAATTTGACCTCGTCATATATGATATATCAAGTTATTTCGAATTACAGGTTTCATTGTATTTAGAAATATCTGTACACCACACACTATGTAGTGTACATGTACAAATGCCTCCAGCAACAAAACATGAAAACGCATGTATTTCCAACATTGTATGGCCCAATGACTGTTAGTTGCAAAATAAATCTCTTTTTCTGACCAGGCTTTGGGCTATATACAATCAGACGTATATATGACTCACCATTTAATATTTCGCGCGCGCGTGCGTGCGTGCGTGCGTGCGTGCGTGCGTGCGTGCGTGCGTGCGTGCGTGCGTGCGTGTGTTTTGTCACCGCTTCAAAACACACATTTTTAGCTGTGAAAGGCGAACAACTTTTAAAACACACTTATATTCATACATGATGTAACAGACATAATTACCCGACTTTGTAACGTACAGAGAATCTCACCCTCGTGTCTTTTAATATCAAGTATATCTAGACGAGTCGAAGAAAGTTTTAAACTGCTGAAATAGTTGATATCAAAAGACATGCGGGTGAGTTTCTGTTTATCAGTCAACATCATTCTTCTAACCTTTTCAGGGGAGCCTAGTGGTTAAAGCGTTTGCTCGTCACGCCGAAGACCCAGGTTCGATTCCCGACATGGGTACAATGTGTGGAGCCCATTTCTGGTGTCCCTCGCCGTGATATTGCTGGAATGTCGCTAAAAGCGGCGTAAAACCATACTCACTGAATCACTTCTAACTTTTTTCAGTTTCTAAACAGTGCCTTGAGTGTAAAACGTACCGTTAACCACTACAAAAGCACAGTGAGGTGTAGGACAAATATCGTTTTTATATGGTGGTCGAGAGTGGACATCGCTTTCTCGATTTCTCGCGGTAAAGAAATATCCCCCCTTGACCACTATAAGGGTCGCATGTGTTTTCTGTTTCAGTTAGGAGGGAATGTTGAAATTTTCTCACTATTTACTTAAACAAAATTTAACTGTACAGACATAGGTGATTTTAAAACAATCCACTGATTTCTGCATAAAGGAATATTGAATGATTTATGGCCCTATTTAGGTGTTTATGGTACTATCAAGCCGTCAACGCGTGACGGGCCGTGGCAATAATCCAAATACTTATGTGAAAAAGCGAGAAAGCGCGAAAACGATAGAACGAGAAAGCGAAAAAGGGATGTCCCTTCTCGCCCACCATATTACTCACCAAAGTGACCGTTTCGCTGGCTCTCCGCATCTTCCGGAGGCAAGAGAGTTAACTGACTTTAAAAGTTCAGTTTCCATCCTTGCCGAACCAGGCTGGAATTCCTGGGCTCGATCGTAGCGCCACCAGTGGTTATTATTAGTTATGTCCCTTCTGAGCCTCTCCTATGGACCAATCCGATTCCATCACTTGCATTTGTTTCAAACAAAATGGCGGCGCCCAGTCAAGACGATCTGATCGATAATCAAGATCTATATTGTGATAAAACGGGTCTTACATCGCGAAGAACATCAAATCACGCGAGCACATTGATTAAAAACATGAAAAGGTTTGGAAAATATCTGTTGACAACGAGTTGGCGGTGCACATGCTTTGCAAATCTTGCAATCGACCGAAATCTGCACGACAGTTTACGAACCGGATTTCGATTTCGTTGCGAGATTTTGATTGGACTATGCAAAGACTCGTTAGTCCAGCCAAAATTTAACTCCATAATACCAGCCTAGTTCGGCAAGGGTGGAAACTGGACTTTTATAGTCAGTTAACTCTCTTGCCTCGGGAAGATGGCTCTACGTTGAGCCTTGATGAAAGCACGTGGAGCCGTACACCCAAACTTAACAAAGGACAAATACCACATGGAAATAGTTGTTCATTGTTTTAGGATATTTTCTCAATGAAAGTTTACCGTTTCATGACACTTTTTTATCTAATGTGTAGAGTTTTAAAAAGTGAAACGTATGAAAAATATACGTCACTTGTTGAATGGACTGTGTGAGATGTGACGAACCGTCAGATGTCGCTCTCCTGTGTCAGATACACTAGGCTGACCGCGAGAAACTCTGGGTAGGAGAGGGCAGGTTTGGATGATAAATACCAGTCTCCGCCTCTTATCTGCTGCGTTTCAGAATAATGAAGGAATACATAATTATAAACATTAATACGAATGCGGTGTTGAGATATTTATTGGTTATTGCCACGAGCGTGTACGCTAACATTCGTTATCTCAAATACAAGTCTTTCGAAATAATGTTTGTCCCGAACGTTTTTTGTTCCACTTGTGAGGATCACTCCAGTGACTTGAAGGAATGGACAATAAACATCGTCTTCACACAACGTACTCATATAGGGAACCGAACCTGAGCCTCCAGATAACGACGAACGTAACCACTGAGCTATACCCCCTATGTGTACATGTGCCCCTGGTCCTATCGTGGAGAAGTGCTTGGCACACAAGGCTGTACGTGGATCCTAATGTCGGCTTCCACCCTTCATGTTACTTGCATTTGCTTCAAACCAAATGGCAGCGCTCAGTCAAGACATCAGATCGATAAACCAAGATCTATATTGTGATAAAACTTACTTCGCGAAGTGCACTAAAACGTGATTACCATGATTAGAAACATGAAAGGATTTGGAAAATATGTGTTGATGCCGAATTGGTGGTACACATGCTTTACAAATCCTGTAATCGACTGAAATCTGAACGGCAGTTGTCGAACCGGATGTCGATTTCGTTTGTTTGTTTGATTGTTGTTTAACGACGCACTCAGCAATATTCAAGAGAGATGACGGCGGTCTGTAAATAATCGAGTCTTGACCAGACAATCCAGTGGGAAACCATGACATGCATCAACCAAGTCAGCGAGCTTGACCACCCGATCCGGTTAGTCGCCTCTTACGACAAGCCTTGGGTTGCTGAAGATCTATTCTTCCCCGGATCTTCACGGGTCTTTCGATTTCGTTACTCGATTTTGATTCGACTATGCATAGACTCGTTAGTCCAGGCAAAAACTCCGAAATTGCAGCGTAGTTCGGCAAGGGTGGAAACTGGACTTTGATAATCAGCTAACTACCCTTGCCTCGGGGACATGACAATATCAGCCAGGAGTATATCGCCTCTACAGTTTGCCGTTATTGTATTTTCTATAGACCTTTGTGGTAATATTTATGAAATATAATATAAATAACTGGAAATGCGAAATATATGAAACACAGGGCATTGTGTGTGTATTGATAAGAACGTTTATTGACAAGATACATACACGTGTTAAAACAAACAAGCAGTGAGCATGGTAACAGATGCTTGGTTGTTGTCATACATCACGCAGTTTGAGGGTAGCCAGTATCCTTTTCCAAAGTTGGGCCAACAAAGCAGACGACATTTGGCCATGGCCAGTGTACTTGTTCATCTTCTGTGGGTTGGGTACATGTGGTGCCATAATGTCACGTGACATGTTATTTCAGCCTCTTAAATGATTGCATCACTTAACCTAAATCATGACTTTGTATATTTTGTGCAAATGTTAAAAATTACAAGATATGTACATTGTTGTATCTAGACCTTCCGCGATACACGAAGGAGCGGGTAAGCTTGCGGGCATGGCCCGATACAAGGATGTAAAAACTGATAGAGATGTAAAACTTGAGAGTATGACTTTTTAAAAATAGTTATAAACGGTGAAAATATGAAAGCAGATCTGTGACTTCCCCCAATAGCTATGCACAAATTAGTAACACGTTTCCAAACAGATGACTTCCTCAGATGTCGGAAAGTCTCGGAGACAGTACACGAGATCTTGCGTTACAAGACGCCAACCCGAAACTTAGTCTTCCCTCGGACCAACTTCCAGCGCTTCTTGTTGGCGTCAATGCCTTGCAGTTCATCCGCCTTCATCTGAAACATTGGAGGAACTGCATATATTGGATTCCAGAACAAAACTATTTGGGGGCGTGGCCTAAAGCTTCCGGTGCAAAGGTGCAGCAATGCGTGACAAATGTTTTCATTGGCTGATATGTTGGCTGTTTCTATTAACCCTTCAAAATAACAATGCATACATTGCCGAGTGTCTGAAAAGACTACCCTAAACTGTGACTTCCTACTTGTCCAGCAGCTGACCAAGGGTTAATCCCCACCGTCTTTGTTTAAGCAATAATCATCCGTACATCCATTTTTCGTTTTCTTTGAGATACATAATAAACAATGGATAGAAAGAATGAGCACTGTATAAAATATTGTCATATTTGTCCAATTTCACATTCAACATTTCCATTTATATAATTCCCAGTCCAGATGTGAAACAGCATTGTGATAATCATTCACTGGTTTCTGGTTGGCAAGAAGTTGTCTCTTCTCCGTCTCAAGGGCATAGTCTCGGTTTCGATACGCCTTCTTCATGGATGGCATCAAAATTCCTGGATTGTGATCGCAATATTATCCTGCTCAACCTGCAATATCTCAGTGAATTTGTACACATTTGGATGATCTGTGGCGTCGTCCCACTGCTCAGAGACAAAATTGTGCTTCGTGAAAAAGTCATCTTTGCCGATAATGATGGTCTTTGGGAACATTTCCAGTGATTGGAAGTTTGACGTCTGGTCTTAATCGTAAACTTGTATCCGGCAAAATCCAATTGGTAATTCACTCATTCAGTATATATATATATATATATATATATATATATATATATATATATATATATATATATACTGCGTTGGGGGGACGATTTCGCGTGTCGTTTTTTATCGTCTTTTTAATACTATTTCCGATTTTCAAATTTAAGTTTGTTATTTATTATACCCTAAGGTATTAAATTCTGCAAAGTTGCTATGTTGACTTAACTTGCCCTTTTATAAAAACTAAACATTAAGGAAGAGCAGAATCATTCCTGTTATCATCGTTCCAACGACAGTTTTACTCATTATTCCAGAGAATTGTCAACCCAAACTGATTTATTCGAACATTAACGTCATATCAGACTATTAAAACAAACTATTTCAATAATTTAAATATCTCATTGCGAGTAAATAATATATAAAGTATACATGCTAAGACATGGTTTCGTATAAAAAAGACACAAAAATTTCAAATTGCAGTAATGCTATATATTAACAGTGTTTCCAAGCATTCCGACCCAGTTACCAGTATATATACGTCATGTATGCAACTGTTCAGTTCGGTCATAAAGGGTTTGCACTAGGACGCTGTTATCCCGGGTCTCACACCTAACATTTACAACTGATGTACGTGTCTGATCAGCGGAGAAAATGTTATGAAATATATCGATTTCATTTAAGTTATTATTTATTTAATACAAATATTCTCTGGCTTGAAGCTGAATGTCTCATGCTTGAGTTTGAGAATTTCTAAAATGTCACAATAAACGTTTATAATTACATTACTGACTCAAAAAAGCGACAAAATCCTTTCCATCTTCATAAGAAATCTCGATTGTACGATTCCGACCATATCATGAGCATGTGTTTATGAAATACTATCACAGTGATAGAACGGGAAAGAAAACCGATACATTCAGCCATTACTTAAATTATATCAATTTAATCTTAATTTGATACCCAAAATTCTAGATGAATTGATTTATCTACACTACATTTGAATATACTTTTAATTCTAAATGAATTATTTCTCAGCCTTCAAACTTAAATTACTCCTAAACCCTGCATATAAAGTAATTCGTCAATCTTCTCATGCTAACTGACTATTTTGAAGATAGTTCTGCTTACCCTATACTTCTCCTCAGCGTCGTACACCCCCATCCTCCTCTGTGCACTCTGAAACAACAAGCACGTTGTGTATTCCAGATAGCATGTGTCGTGCTCACTGTGTGTTGAGTCAGTATGTACGAGGTGTGATAAGGGACATTGGTTCCATATGAAATTAATACAATAAATGTTAAAGATAAGTGAAAATCGATTGTGTTCAGATGACTGACAACTTGCATAATATTCTTTTAAAAAACGACAATCAATTTACATGAATAAAATCTTAAAATTAAGACTAAAATGCATGAAAATCGTCAATTGTCGGAAATGTTTACAAATTTATATACTATATTGAGGTTGCCCAAAACGAGAAGTGTTAATACATGACTCATGAGATATCGCGCAAGGATTTTGCAGAAATAGGGTTCAAAGACGAACGACAGCATGATTACTTACGTTTACTCTCGCCGTGAAGATGAAGAAGAGTTGGAAACACACGAAGAAGCCGACGAGACCAACGAAAGCCCAAAAATCCATCGACCGAGAGAGACTGTCGTTGAACTGGAAGCGGGTGATGACGGCGTGCCAGATGCACACAAAATACATGATGCACATAGAGATGAGGATGTACCTGTCCTGAAAGAGAAGTGATGGGTTAGGAGTAGCTACATGAATTAAAACACGGCACTTCTATCGTACCGTTTGCCTGGCGGGGCAGGCTAACATTCTTCTGCGGACTTTGCTTAGGATAACAACCATGGTCTTGCAAAGACACGATTATATACTGGTAGCCGTGAAAATACCTGCATATTGCTTAATGTGGCGCTAGGCAACAAACACAAACAAACATTCAAACGTCAGACTGTAACAGTCTCTATTTCAAAATTGATATTTTTATAATCTGAGGTATATCTTTTGTCTTCAAGGAGTTTTTGACTTTGTTAAATTTTAAATTGTGCTGTCAGACACATCTTCCCTAGACTATGCAAAGACTCATTAGTCCGGCCAAAATAAAACTCCATGATTCAAGCCTAGCTCAGCAAGGGTGGAAACTGGACCTGAATGCTGCGGGAAGATGTGTCAGGCAGGACGTTACCTGTTATTATTACAAGATGAGGATTGTTCCCGCAGTTCGTTAAACCAGGAATGAAGGTAGTACACCCCATTCATATTTCGTTCTTTGCGAGACATAGTGTTACCATTATTATCGATATATATATATATAACAGAAATTGAAACGCGTACATTGAATTCATGATCTTTGCAGTATGGTCGATTTAACGTAAGCATAAGGGATAACAATTCCATTAATAAATTTGACAGTTTTAAATGTCCTTTGGGTATGGCACTGTTCCTTCAGGATGAAGGCCCTTGCATCAGAGACAGTACGTAGGCTTTCAGTTTGTTTTCAACTTTCTTCCCATCATGCCCCGACGGGGACACCATGTCAATTTGAGCTTTCTATTTTGTTCCAGTAATGGGAGTCACACCCGGAGCTTACACAGTCCAAACAAACACCCCCAAACAAACATCCCCACGGGGTTAAGGTCAGGTCATGTGCAGTGACCTTGAACTTGACCTTGATCACACATCCCCTTTTTGTATCACTAGTCCCAACATCGTCTCACCTTATAACAGTATTAATCCCTTCATCACTTCTCCATACATAGCACTGGGTATAGGAGGTAGGGTAAGAGCCACTTACTAGATGTGTAAGGTGGGATAATGTCACTTACAAGGTATACAAGTTAGGATAAGCGCAATTTAAGAGTTATGTAAGGTAGGGAAAATGCCACTTTGTAAGGTATGTAAGGTAGGGAAAGTGCCAATATGTAAGGTATGTAAGGTAGGGAAAGTGCCACTATGTAAGGTATGTAAGGTAGGGAAAGTGCCACTATGTAAGGTATGTAAGGTAGGGAAAATGCCACTTTGTAAGGTATGTAAGGTAGGGAAAGTGCCAATATGTAAGGTATGTAAGGTAGGGAAAGTGCCACTATGTAAGGTATGTAAGGTAGGGAAAGTGTCACTTTGTAAGGTATGTAAGGTAGGGACAGTGCCACTATGTAAGGTATGTAAGGTAGGGAAAGTGCCACTATGTAAGGTATGTAAGGTAGGGAAAGTGCCACTCTGTAAGGTATGTAAGGTAGGGAAAGTGTCACTTTGTAAGGTATGTAAGGTAGGGAAAGTGCCACTTTGTAAGGTATGTAAGGTAGGGAAAGTGCCAATATGTAAGGTATGTAAGGTAGGGAAAGTGCCACTATGTAAGGTATGTAAGGTAGGGAAAGTGTCACTTTGTAAGGTATGTAAGGTAGGGACAGTGCCACTATGTAAGGTATGTAAGGTAGGGAAAGTGCCACTATGTAAGGTATGTAAGGTAGGGAAAGTGCCACTCTGTAAGGTATGTAAGGTAGGGAAAGTGTCACTTTGTAAGGTATGTAAGGTAGGGAAAGTGTCACTTTGTAAGGTATGTAAGGTAGGGAAAGTGCCACTATGTAAGGTATGTAAGGTAGGGAAAGTGCCACTATGTAAGGTATGTAAGGTAGGGAAAGTGTCACTTTGTAAGGTATGTAAGGTAGGGACAGTGCCACTATGTAAGGTATGTAAGGTAGGGAAAGTGCCACTATGTAAGGTATGTAAGGTAGGGAAAATGCCAATTTGTAAGGTATGTAAGGTAGGGAAAATGCCACTTTGTAAGGTATGTAAGGTAGGGAAAATGCCAATTTGTAAGGTATGTAAGGTAGGGAAAGTGCCACTATGTAAGGTATGTAAGGTAGGGAAAGTGCCACTATGTAAGGTATGTAAGGTAGGGAAAATGCCAATTTGTAAGGTATGTAAGGTAGGGAAAGTGCCACTCTGTAAGGTATGTAAGGTAGGGAAAGTGCCACTCTGTAAGGTATGTAAGGTAGGGAAAGTGCCACTATGTAAGGTATGTAAGGTAGGGAAAGTGCCACTATGTAAGGCAGGTAAGGTCGAGTAGGTGCCACTTACTAGATACGTAAGGTAAGGTATTTTAGGCAAGGACTGTGTGGCCACAAATTTGAAGGCAACTCCGGTGAGGACGAGTGTGAAGGAAAGCTGGAGACGGTTCTGGGGCTTTGTCTGGTCCACTGAGAACGTAGAGAACGACAGGGAGCTGATCAAACACTGAAAGAGAGAAATGTGGATTATGGAGGTATTGTGGTGATTTGTCTGGTCCCTCAAATTATTTTAAAAAAAAATCCCAATTGTATTTTGACCGAAGAATGTCGCACCACAATACGAACCTTTCGTCTCACAATATATTTCTTTCATCCTAGATTGGACATTCCAACCGACTCACGTTCTAATTCCTACAGGACTGACACGGCGGTAAGGCAGCAGCAGCAGCTCGGGCAACACTGGTCCAAAATGTCAGGATTTAGGACTTTCATCTTTAGGTTTTATTTCTTTGTGTTTTTGAGATCGACAACACCTGGACTATGTTCGTGGACTTAAAAAAGTCGTTGATGATAACACGTCATAATATATAATTATTAACTTTTCAATTACATCTTTGCAAGCTGTGAAGAGAAAGGTACGAATTATATCAAAGGCTGGTCGTAGATAGTACCTTACCTACACTACATTTCATAAGTAACTTCCCCTATTTTCGCGAAAATTTCGCGAAATATTTTCGCCACTATTGCGGCACTAACGCGGAATTATCGCGCCACCTTTGAGCCATTATCGCGAAACTATTGCGTCACTTTCGAGCCATTTTCGCGTTAACATTTTACAAGATCGCGGCACTTTCGCGACACTTTTACGGCACTATCGCGACACTTTCACGCCTTTCGAGACAGAATAGTCACGCTATCTAGTGACAGTTGTGCTAAATGTACGGTACAATATATTGTATTACTTTTTTCCTTGACTGATTTTGAGTTACATTTTCCATGGCATGCTAGTCTGCATTATTTAAGATCATAGTGTAAAGCTTCTTTTCCTTTTACAAATACCGATATCTATACTTTATTTAAGGTGATCTTGTGGTCGTGACTCCAATCACAAATACTCGTACACACATTAGCTGAGGTGATTTTCACGGCAACAAATAGGATAGAACAGAATCAAACACAATCATGTGTCGGCCAAAATGACCGTCAGGAAACCTCATAACCAACTAATGTTTTGTGCATGTCTAGTATCCCATAATGTTTCGTGAAAAGGTTCATTCTGAATATAATGTGAAATAGTCTGGACAAAATCGTTTGGTTATTAAAGATTTCCTATGATAAACGAAGTCCTTCACACATATTACGTCGTTAGGCATTTGTATTACTCAGTGACTTGTTCTTGATGTGTGAACGATTATTAACATTGTAAAAGAATACGCTTTTTATTGGAAACAAAATAAACAAAACCATTTCCATATTTTACCTCTTTTCCATTCCATTCCGACTATATCATAAGCATGACATTGTGTTAATGAATCATACTCATGAATCAGGTTAGAGCGTATCCACCACAAACACATGAAAAATGCAAGTCAGGTATTTGCAAGTCAAAGACATACATGTACACTTACTTATATGTATATGTACAGAACACAATAAAGAATTGTCTAAACTGAATGGAACATCAATGGCTGGGACTGTTTAACAGCTACATAGCATCACGTATATAGCATGGAGAGTGGGAGTGGGTCTCCTGATCCAAATACCTGACATCGCCTGGCCATGCCCTAAATGAGGGTCTGGAGTCACATCTCCTGATTGAAAGCCATATTCCTGAGAGATCTGAGAGTCAATTATACGATTTCGGCTATGTCATGGGCATGTGTTTTCGAATCACTATCAAATAGTGATGATACCAGGTGTTCTCGAAAAGGTGAGCGTATCCTGCCCTAACGGCGGCACCCGTCACAAACACATGCAAAGGCAAGTCAATCGTTCACCTTAAAAACACGGGAACACATGGTGAAATTCCAAGAAAGGAAATGCATCGGGCATCATTTTTGTCAATGATGTGTTAAATTTAGAAACGTCCTTCACATGATTGAGAGACACTACAGCACATTGGCGCAGACGATACTCAAATACACCCCACTTATGTTCAGTGAGGTTAAGGCCAGGAATTGTAGCAGACCCGTTACTAGATTAATCCATTGACTAGTTGCATCATAACGGGTTCCATGACTAACCTCAAATACCCATCACGAGCCCGTGAGTCGACCATCAAGACAGATGAGGTCTGAACCGTAGGTGATGCCGACCCACGCTACCACTGAGCCACCACCATTGTGGTCGTCGTGCTGTGGTACTCTGCTGGTAGCATCTCTCCAAACTCCAAACATCGAAAAGGAATCCCGATCCGTCACTGCGCATAGTTTGACGCCCATGAAGCCAGTTACCTGACGCATCTACGCTGTGCCAACTCAATTCCTATTTGTTTGATTTCACCATTTATATTGACGCCACACCCTATGTCAGGACTTTGTAATCCTGAAGCTTTCAACTGGTCGCGTATAGTCCGACCACCTAATTGTATGTTGGTAATGACCCTGAGTATCGAATCTCCGACGGTGTGCGCACTGCTGGGTTTTACGGTACCAGAGTCATGCCGCATTTAACATAACCGGTATGTCTATGCCAAAAGAAGAAGAATGTTTCAGATCATAATAATTAATAACATAAAAGGACAACATTTCTTCCCTAATCATTAAAAGTTGCTGTAAGAGTTGATTCTTATATTCCGACCCGGAGAGCGGAGTGTCCGGGGTTCGAGCCCGGGCCGCGTCTTACCAAAAGACGTTAAAAGATGGTACTTGTTGTTACCCTGTCTGGCGCTCGGCGTAAAGGGGCTAAAACAAGGACTGGTCGGCTCGGACTATACTGTGGGTGGGGTATTCATGTTAAACTGCGGCATGGTATCTCAGCACTATAAATCGGCATCTGTCCGGACTAGTACAAACAGCCACACACGCGACGTTAAATCCCATTTCACCTAACCTTATATTCCGAGTTATGAACACGTGTTAATGAATCACTATCTAACAGTGATGATAAACGGTGTTCACGACTAGTTGAAGGTATCATACCCCACTGGTAGCACCTGTCACAAACACCATCAAGTTCATTGTTCAACTAATAAGGCAACATATGGTACCTGTACCATAAGTAATCTGGACCGCCTCCGTGGTCTAGTGGTAGAGCGTCCGCCCGGAGAGCGGAAGGTCCGGGGTTCGATCCCCGGCCGCGTCATACCAAAAGACGTTAAAAAATGGTACTTGATTGTTACCCTGTCTGGCGCTCGGCATTAAGGGGCTAAAACAAGGACTGGTCGGCTCGGAGTCAGTATACTGTGTCTGAGTGGGGTATTCATGTTAAACTGCGGCATGGTATCTCAGTGGGCTAGCACTATAAATCGGCATCAGTCCGGACTAGTACAAGCAGCCACACACACACACACACGTGCATGCACGTCGCTATATAAGTGCAATAATTTTAGACGCGACCTTAAACCCAATTTCACCTCACCACCATAAGTAATCTGTTGCTGTGAGTTCTCGGACCTTATCGTGCCTATTGCTTGCCATTCGTTTGCAACTGGCATGTCCGTTCCTCGCTAACCATCATTCTGTTACGTTACATGGGTAATATGCATTGAGGACACAATCTGGCCAGCAGGCTTACTGCGCAAATACCATGCGTTACCAAGAGGGTAGAATGCTCTCCAATGAATGGAACCACTGCATGAACTGTCCCTAATGTCATTCCTTATTTACTTCCTTCCATATAGAAGACCCGTGAAGATCCGGGATACAATAGGTCTGCAGCAACCCATGCTTGCTGTAAAAGGGGACTATGCTTGTCGTAAGAGGCAACTTACGGGATCGGGTGGTCAGGCTCGCTGACTTGGTTGATGCATGTCATCGTATTCCAATTGCGTGGATCGATGCTCATGATATCAATCACTGGATTGTCTGGTCCAGATTCGATTATTTATAGACCGGAGTCATATAGCTGGAATATTGCCGAGTGCTGCGTTTAACAACAAACAAACAAACCATATTGTGACTTTCAAAAATAAACGGGTGATCAAGTCTTTGAAAGGCCTTTAGAAGTGATACACACACGGACTAGGATTTATGGATGTCAAATTCTTTATGATGAAGAACACAACGTTTCGGAGTATATACTTATCAAGTGATCATCATCGCAGGACCAAGCGAGGGCAGCAAGTCGCCCACACCCCCTCTTAATAATCGTCATGTACACAAGTATAATGTGAGTGAGTGTTGTTTTACGCCGCTTTTAGCAATATTCCAGCAATATCACGGCGGGGGACACCAGAAATGGGCTTCACACATTGTACCCATGTCGGGAATCGAACCCGGGTCTTTGGCGTGACGAGCAAACGTTTTAACCACTAGGCTACCCGACCGCCCCGAATGTATTGTATAATTGTAATATGGAGGGTGTGTATGTACAAAAAACATATCTGTTCCTGAAAAATGCTCGAAAGAATTCATCAGGCAAACATTTACACCCACAAAATTGTTCGTTGAAGATGACGGCGCGTCTGAAAACGTGTTGGTACATAACATAAGAACATGATCTGTCTCAAACAAATATCCTAACCACACCCTGGGTACGATCTTTCTTTGGATAATATCGTGAGTTCACAATAGCCACCAAATCTTTAATTATTCAACGACATGAAGGATGGCAAACGAGATCTTTGTGCAATATCTCTTACCAAAGCACATTAATGAATTAAATTTTATTTGGCTTGGTCGATAGTCAGCAGTACCCGATATGAAAGCGTTTTTTCAAGAGCAATTTCTTTCTCATTAACATTTGAATTTATTCTTTTGGGAAACCCTTTATATGTTTTTGAACGATAAACACTTGGTTTATCAACCACAGCTTCTGTTGAATCAATAGAAAAAAACAGTCGTAGGGGGTATTAGTTTGGGATCGTTCAAAGAATATAACATACTGTATTGTGATGGGGCATACTAATGTATGATTTCAACATGGACACGCACAGGCAATACTATCTTCAGAGTTTTCATTGGCTGTGTAGCATCCTGCGAAAGTTCAAACGGAAATTGAAGTGAGAATTATGTGATGTTCCATATGGATGTAATCATAATCATATATGCCCCCCCCCCCCCCCCCCCCCTAATAAAAATAAATGAAAAAATAAAATTAAAATAAATAAATAAATTAATTAATAAATAAATAAATAAAAATAAATAAATAAAAAAAGAAGAAAAATAAATAAATAAATAAATAAATATAAAAGGTTTTCCGACAGTAATGTTTCTAGTTTTGCTCTAGGACGCCCCGTTTCCTGATACAAATACAGATACACATAGATCATGAAGATTCAAACCTTTTATTTTTGTAGTTGGATGTTTACTTGAAGCTGATCCTAATAAACAAAGTTAAAACTGCTACATCCAGTGGAAGCGACCAGTACATATTTACTCTTATGGACTAAAAGGAATACGAAAAGATTTCTGCTTCATTCTGTTAAGGATTCAAACAGAATGATTTTGTTTTTAGCAGTTTTTGTACTTTTATCAGTTCAAAGACAGCTCTAACTATGTTCAAGCTTTCTTTCTCCGAAGAGGAGAATGTTATATGGCATATGTTATTGTTTAACAGTGATTGTAGCTATGTTTCATTGTTTCTTTTGGGAGACGCTCATTGAATTGCGTTTGGACAGTGATCAGTCGTCAGGAAGTTACTATACACATCAAATAAAGTTAAGCACCCCCCCAGATATTTTCTGTATAGTAAATAAGAATCACGAACATGATAAAATGGACAGAGTGATGTTTGTAAAGAGCAACCATCTGAGAACAAAGGAAACAAAACAATTTTGGGCCAGAATGAACTTTTAATTGAGATATGGTTGCCCAAACACCGGTACTGTTTTTGCCACAAAACAACACCGTCTATAAGTATAGCACTGTTTATGTGGAACAACGATAGATTATTGCATATAATGAATAAAAATGTGTATTAACGTCCTTTCGTGACATTCGCGTGTCAAAAAGTTTAATGACGGGTGGGACCACCGTGTGCCCGGATGACAGCCTCGACCCTTCTCCTCATCCCTCCAGTCAGACGTCGGATCATCTTAAGGGGAAATAGCGCCCATTCATGATACAAAGCTGCTGCCAATTCATCCAAATTGTGTAGAGGAGGGTCCATTGCCTGCACTCTACGCCCACGAATGTCCCAAATGTGCTCTATGGGGTTAAGATCTGGATTGCAGGCCCAGGTAAAGTTGCAATGGCGTTGTTTGCCAAATATGCAGTCACAGCTCTTGAACGGTGGGGTCTAGCGTTATCGTTCTTGAACAGGGGTCTTGATGCCAGAGGGTGGTTGGCAAAATGGGGAACAACAACTGGTTCGAGAACTTCCCGGATGTAACGTTCACCATTGAGATTGTCCCGTATAGTCACAAGGTCTAGCTTGCAATCGTGGGATATGCACCCCCATATCATAACGAAGGCACCACCGTAACGGAACAGTTGGTTTAATGTTCTTGGGGGTGTATGCTGTACCTTGTTGCCTCCACACTCTCGTTCGGCCATCATTTACATGCAGCTGAAACCTGCTTTCATCTGACCAATGGACAGGTCTCCATGTTCTTAGGTTCCACCCTTAAAAACCATTGTATTCGCAGTATCCGATGACGTTGTACCAGTAGGGGGCGTTTGACGACTCTTCGGGCCCTCATTCCACAATGTTTGGCAAGACAGACGTCTATGGGGTAACCAATTACGCCTCAGGTAGGTGCTTGCCGCAAATGGATTTCGTCGCACTAATCGCAGTAATATCCTGTTTTCACGCCCTGACGTCACAGGAAGGCGTCCTGTACGGGGCAGGTACTTTACTGAATTGGTTTGGGCATGTTTTCGCACTAGTCGGCTGATTACTGAGTAATGCTAGCCCTGTTGACGTCCAATCGCCTTGAAAGACATCCCTGCGGCATGCATACCAATGATTCTCCATCCTAGTGCTTTGCATAATCTCCTTCTTGCCATGTTCAGACTTGACGATTACACAAATCAGTTTACACTTTTTTCAGTTCCAGTATTTGCTGCGCGAACAGTTCCTGAGTGTTAGGGAGACATGATGCACGTGCAAAACACGGGAAATTGGGACGTACCATCACGCATGAACGGTCACATTATTCGGAAAAACCCCCATTAATATCATGATTAGTATCGCCATCAACATTAAGCATTATGGTGGTGTATTATCATGCATAATATTAGGGGGTGCTTACCTTTTTCGATGTGTATATATTAAGATGCTAGTGTGGTGTGTGAACTTCTGACCGTCATACCGCGGACAGAGATATTATGTTATGGCAAATTATTTAATGTTCTTGTGCTGTTGAACTGGCGAGGCACTGTATAGACATTTTAAGTGGCTATATATAGTGGACCAAGAGCGTGTATACGTCTCACACATTTACTTCGCTTCAGAACCAGCTTTCGTGTGAGCATCGTTCATCATCCATGATTCCCTGCCTAGCCAATCTCAGAAGTTTGACCACTGTCGCCGCTGGGTTAATATATACCATTATCACTGACTTTTGCTATCACCACTGTATTTTTGTATTTGATACTGACCACTGCCTTCATATTATTTATTGCCTTTGAATATTGTATTACCACTATGTTATGTAACGTCATTGTAACTGCTGTGCAGTAATTTGTATTGACTTGTTAACTTAATGAATTGTGTAATACATTTCTTGATTGTATACTACTTGTTGGTTGTATGTTGGTTTCACACTAATTTCTTTTAGGTGCATATTTCTGGGTTACTGTTTAAATTTGATCATCGACACGTGACAAGGCAGCCATGTGTTAATGCACGGCTCAATAGGCAGCCATGTGTTAATGCAAGATTCAAAAGGTAGTCATGTGTCAATGCAGGATTCAATAGGCAGTCATGTATTAATGCAAGATTTGTTGAGAATTGTTGATGCTGCTATCAACCACTGGTTCGCCTGGCACCCACTCGATTTTCTGCAGGCTGCCGTTATAACGCTGAAATATCCCTTGTGGCATTAAATAACGTACAAACAAACAAACAAACAAACAAACATGTATGGTGGCATCATGGTGTGGAAGTCACGAATAGTAATGGTATTAGCGTATTACAAACTGCGCTCCTTGGAGTGAGCAAAATACAACATTTTAATGATAAATAGATTATTGTGGGATCGCTATAGCTGCAGAACACACTACCTAAGCACACGGACATGAAGACAAAGGTTCAGTGTAGCATCAACATGGATATTAATTAAATATATTTATGAAATGCGTCAGCCGTCATGTTGGCTGAATTGTTTGCCACTGAGATATGTTCTTTTTTGGGGCATGGAAGATCCATTGTTAGAAATGTGTAGGCGTGATCGAAATAAAAAGGATACACTCAAAAGACTCAGAGGACTCAGACGCCGTTCTTGGCGGAGTTACGCCCAACTCAAGATTTCTACAAGACTATTGGGTGAGTGAGTGAGTGAGTGAGTGAGTGAGTTGGGTTTAACGCCGCTTTTAACAGTATTCCAGTTGTATCGCGGCATGTCAGCTTAATGTGGGAGGAAAGCCTGAACTGATGCAGTTCTCAGATGTTTACCACTTCGGTGAAACCCGCAATCAGGGGTATGGTGCTGACAAACCTAGAAACATAATCAGGGTGAACCGGGATTTGAACCCACAATCATATGTTTCTTATGTGCCAAAGGGACGCACAGCGAATCGCGGCGCCTTAGACGAGTGGGCCACCCGTGCCCCTGACTATCATGTATGATATGTAAGCGTCGTATAACTAGGTAGAACGTCTCAATATTGGAAATAGTTTAAAAAAACACATTTCCTAACAATGTAAAGGACAAGAAGTATATATCATTTAGACACATGATTGCGTCACATACCATGACGCACAGGATGTTCCATATGAAGAACCCTGGTCTCCTGAAGGCACAGCATCTCACTAGGACGGAGGGGAACTCGTGCTTGGCACTACTGTACTCGCGCTTCGTCACCTGAGGCAGCAACTCCACGAAGTTTCTCATCTCCCATTCCTGCTCATCAATAAAACTCAGTCGATTGACGCTGCTGAGTTCAAGGTCATCTTCTACAAGGGTGACCTCTTTGCTCGACAGGTCAGAGGTTATCATCAGAGACAAATGCTGGAATGGAACAATGCCACACATGAATAAATGATGCCACAGTTAGCAATTATCCAGCCATATAACGATGCCTAAATTATGTCAAGCCTGGACCAGGCAAACCAGTGACAGAAAGAATAAACAATGATCCACGTCAGAGTGGCACGTTCACAAAGTTTGAAACCCTGATACCCTATTATCAGCAGTGAGGTGCTCAGTACCAGTGATTCAGTGAGCAAAAAGTGTCAAAATTAATCAAAGTGCAACAATGCGACAACGCAACATTTTCATCTTTTCCGCATTGTCGCGTTGTCGTGCTTTGAATAATGTTTTCTACTTTTACCAAAAGGCGACAATGCGGCAACACGACAATGTCCCTTCTAGGATTTCATAGTTCTAGAACCAGGCTCAACTAAACAAAAACTATACCTATTTACTATTTTATATGGTAAAGAACAAGAAATTATTATTCGTTTTTCCACCAAAGTGAAAACACTGATGACGTTTTGTGGATGACCACATTCAACTTTTTAAATATTTTCTTTTCAAACAGATGTCAAAACTGGACGGGTGTCTTATGGGACTTGGTGCCGTTATAAAAAAAACAACCAGCATTACGTTATCATGCACCTTCAAAATGCCAATGACAAGATTTGGTCTGAATGAAACAATCATTGTACATAATGCAATGTACTTCAAACTTTTATTTATTGTGTCATATAAACGATTTATTCCCGATAGAAAGGCCCAACGGATGAGAGAAAGAAATAATGGAATTCTCAAGCACAACTGTTGATGTTGCCTACTGCTTACGGTCGTACCTGAATATCAAACGGGAAGGCTTCCAGCTCCAGGTTTTCCGTGAACCAGCCCTTGAGGCGTCTCTTTTCCAGGACAAAAGCCTGCCCCTCGTTGAACTGCACGTCAAACCACACACTCTGTTTCTGATCGCTGGCCACGTTCTGTATAAGAAGCTTGGGGTTCCAGCGCTCCGTCCAGTTCACGTCGTCCACGTTCTGACAACAGATTAGATGACGCCAGGTTGTTACGATTTCATTGAACAGTCACGTGATCGTGTAACATGCACAACATTACCCCAAAGGCTAAACAGAGACCAAAAGCTTTCCGATATTTGCGATCACAAACTTATAGCATTGCGTCATCTAAACAATCGATAGCCTTCAATGTGATCTCTCTGTTGGATGGACATGTCATGTCATTTCTTCATGTTTTCTTTTTTAAAATGACAATGGATACCATGTTTAATAGCCTACGCGAAACTCGAAACTACGAAAGTGAATAGAGGTTGTGAATCCTTCACCAATGGGCGTTACACCCTTCATTCGGGACAGGTCCACTGTTAACCCTCGTAGACACTTGTGTGTAACCGCTAAGCACACCCGACAAGGCCATCCCGCCAAGCACACCCGACAAGACCATCCCGCCAAGCACACCCGACAAGAACATCCCGCCTAGCACGCCCGACAAGTCCATCCCGCCTAGCACAGCCGACAAGGCCATCACGCCTAGCACACCCGACAAGGCCATCACGCCTAGCATATCCGACAAGAACATCCCGCCTAGCACACCCGACAAGAAAATCACGCCTAGCACACCCGACAATAACATCATGCCTAGCACACCCGACAAGAACATCCCGCCTAGCACACCCGACAAGAACATCCCGCCTAGCACGCCCGACAAGTCCATCCCGCCTAGCACAGCCGACAAGGCCATCACGCCTAGCACACCCGACAAGGCCATCACGCCTAGCATATCCGACAAGACCATCCCGCCTAGCACTCCCGACAAGAACATCACGCCTAGCACACCCGACAAGAACATCATGCCTAGCACACCCGACAAGAACATCATGCCTAGCACACACTACAATACCATCACGCCAAGCACTCCCGAAAAGAACATCCCGCCAAGCACACCCGACTAGACCATCCCGCCTAGCACGCCCGACAAGGCCATCACGCCAAGCACTCCCGACAAGGCCATCACGCCTAATACTCCCGACAAGACCATCACGCCAAGCACACCCGACAACAACATCCCGCCTAGCACACCCGACAAGAACATCATGCCTAGCACACACTACAATACCATCACGCCAAGCACTCCCGAAAAGAACATCCCGCCAAGCACACCCGACTAGACCAACCCGCCTAGCACGCCAGACAAGGCCATCACGCCAAGCACTCCCGACAAGGCCATCACGCCTAATACTCCCGACAAGACCATCCCGCCTAGCACACCCGACAACAACATCCCGCCTAGCACACCAGACAAGAACATCCCGCCTAGCACACCTGACAAGAACATCCCGCCTAGCACACCCGACAAGAACATCCCGCCTAGCACACCAGACAAGAACATCCCGCCTAGCACACCTGACAAGAAAATCACGCCTAGCACACCCGACATGAACATCATGCCTAGCACACCCGACAAGAACATCATGCCTAGCACACACTACAATACCATCACGCCAAGCACTCCCGACAAGAACAACCCGCCAAGCACACCCGACTAGACCATCCCGCCTAGCACACCCGACAAGGCCATCCCGCCTAGCACACACTACAAGTAAATCACGCCTAGCACATCAGACAAGACCATCACGCCTAGCACACCCGACAAGGCCATCCCGCCTAGCACACCCGACAAGAACATCCCGCCTAGCACAGCCGACAAGAACATCCCGCCAAGCACACACTACAAGAAAATCACGCCTAGCACACCAGACAAGATCATCACGCCTAGCACGCCCGACAAGGCCATCCCGCCTAGCACACCCGTAAAGAACATCCCGCCTAGCACACCCGACAAGACCATCCCGCCTAGCACACACTACAAGAAAATCACGCCTAGCACACCAGACAAGACCATCACGCCTAGCACACCCGACAAGGCCATCCCGCCTAGCACACACTACAAGAAAATCACGCCTAGCACACCAGACAAGACCATCACGCCAAGCACACCCGACAAGTACATTCCGCCTAGCACACCCGACAAGAAAATCACGCCTAGCACACCCGACAGGAACATCCCGCCTAGCACACCCGACAAGAACATCCCGCCTAGCACACACTACAAGAAAATCACGCCTAGCACACCAGAAAAGACCATCACGCCTAGCACACCCGACAAGGCCATCACGCCTAGCACACACTACAAGAACATCCCGCCTAGCACACCCGACAAGGCCATCCCGCCAAGCACACACTACAAGAACATCCCGCCTAGCACACCAGACAAGAACATCACGCCTAGCACACCCGACAAGGCCATCACGCCAAGCACACCCGACAAGGCCATCCCGCCTAGCACACCCGACAAGGCCATCACGCCTAGCATATCCGATAAGGCCATCACGCCTAGCATATCCGACAAGGCCATCCCGCATAGCACACCCGACAAGGCCATCACGCCTAGCATATCCGACAAGAACATCCCGCCTAGCACACCCGACAAGGCCATCACGCCTAGCACACCCGACAAGGCCATCACGCCTAGCATATCGGACAAGGCCATCACGCCTAGCACACCCGACAAGGCCATCACGCCTAGCATATCCGACAAGAACATCCCGCCTACCACACCCGACAAGAAAATCACGCCTAGCACACCCGACAAGAACATCATGCCTAGCACACACTACAATACCATCACGCCAAGCACTCCCGACAAGAACATCCCGCCAAGGACACCCGACTAGGCCATTACGCCTAGCATATCCGACAAGGCCATCACGCCTAGCACACCCGACAAGGCCATCCCGCCTAGCATATCCGACAAGGCCATCACGCCTAGCATATCAGACAAGGCCATCCCGCCTAGCACACCCGACAAGGCCATCACGCCTAGCATATCCGACAAGAACATCCCGCCTAGCACACCCGACAAGAACATCACGCCAAGCACACCCGACAAGAAAATCCCGCCTTGCACACCCGACAAGAAAATCACGCCAAGCACACCCGACAAGAACATCACGCCTAGCACACACTACAAGAAAATCATGCCTAGCACACACTACAATACCATCACGCCAAGCACTCCCGACAAGAACATCCCGCCAAGGACACCCGACTAGACCATCCCGCCTAGCACATCAGACAACACCATCACGCCTAGCACACCCGACAAGGCCATCACGCCTAGCACACCCGACAAGACCATCCCGCCTAGCACACACCACAAGAAAATCACGCCTAGCACACCAGACACGACCATCCCGCCTAGCACACCCGACAAGGCGTTCACGAATAGCACATCCGACAAGAACATCCCGCCTAGCACACCCGACAAGGTCATCACGCCTAGCACACCCGACAAGAACATCCCGCCTAGCACACCCAGCAAGAACATCACGCCTAGCACATCCGACAAGACCGTCCCGCCAAGCACACCCGACAAGGCCATCACGAATAGCACACCCGACAAGAACATCACGCCTAGCACACCCGACAAGGCCATCCCGCCTAGCACATCCGACAAGGCCATCACGAATAGCACACCCGACAAGAACATCCCGCCTAGCACATCCGACAAGACCATCCCGCCTAGCACATGCGACAAGAACATCCCGCCTAGCACATCCGACAAGAACATTCCGCCTAGCGCACCAGACAAGGCCATCACGCCTAATACTCCCGACAAGACCATCCCGTGTAGCACACTGACAAGAACATCCCGCCTAGCACATCCGACAAGGCCATCCCGCCTAGCACACCCGACAAGAACATCCCGCCTAGCACACCCGACAAGAACATCCCGCCTAGCACACACTACAAGAAAATCACCCCTAGCACATCCGACAAGGCCATCTCGCCTAGCACACCAGACAAGGCCATTACGCCTAGCACACCCGACAAGAAAATCACGCCTAGCATACCCGACAAGACCATCACGCCTAGCACACCCGACAAGGCCATCCCGCCTAGCACATCCGACAAGACCATCCGCCTAGCACACACTTCAAGAACATCCCGCCTAGCACACCAGACAAGGCCATCCCGCCTAGCACACCCGACAAGACCATCCCGCCTTGCACACCCGCACTACCTGCAAGAACACCACCACCCGCACTACCTGCAACAACACCACTACCCGAAATACCCGGAAGAACATCACGCCATGTACTTTCTACAAGAACATCACGCCAAAAAGTACCTGCAAGAACACCTCTGCCGCAGTACATGCAAGAACACTACCACCCGCACTACCTGCAACAACACCACTACCCGCATTACCTTCAAGAACACCACTACTTGCACTACCCATAAGAACATCACGCCACGTGCTATCTACAAGAACATCACGCTAAAAAGTACCTGCAAGAACCCCACTACCGCGGTACATGCAAGAACACCACCACCCGCACCACCTGCAAAAACACTACTATCCGCACTACCCATAAGAACATCACCCAACGTACTATCTACAAGAACATCATGCCAAAACGTACCTGCAAGAACGCCCCTACCGCAGTACATGCAAGAACACCACCACCCGCACTACCCGCAAGAACACCACCACCCGCACTGCCTGCAAGAACACCAATACCCGCATTACCTGAAAGAACACCACTACTTGCACTACCCGCAAGAACACCACTACCCGTACTACCTGCAAGAACATCACACCAAGCACTACCTACAAGAACATAACGCATAGGACGATCTACATGAATACCAGCCTCTAGCACGTCCTATAAGAACATCACGACTTGGACGACCCGCATGAATCCCATCATCCAGCAGGTCCAATAAGAACATCACGCCTAGGGCGACCTACAAGAACACTATCCTCTAGCACGCCATATAAGAACATCACGACCAGGACAATCCGTATGAATACCATCATCTAGCACGTCCTAAAAGAACATCACGCCTAGGACGACCTGCAAGAATACCATCCTCTGCCACGTCCTATAAGAACATGACGACTTGGACAACCTAAAGGAACACCATCCTCTAGCACGTCCTACAAGAACATCACG